AAGCTGCAATAGTTACGAGAAATCATCCAATATCGTTCGAGTTTTTTGGTCAATCAAGGGCAGTGACTATGGGGCCAGTATATTAGTCACAACATGTGCCCTTCAACACCACGCTATCTTGTGTGCCCCCTGCGCTCCACAGCACAGGCCATGTTAGATAACGCCAGGGGCGTTATCTAAAGGGCCCCGCACTATTCAACACCCCCTTGCGCTATCCTTCGTGATCTATGGTACCCAGAAATGCTGAAATTTTTTCTAAATTGTTTTTTAAATCAAATTCAGTATTTTTAGTAATTTCAATAGTTACCGAAAATTACCGCAATTACTGAAGTTGTTGAATTCACTAACATTACCGAAAATGCAGGGGGCAGCGAAAAGCGACTGGTCTGGGCGAGCAATTGGCCGCCAACGTCCTCCGCCTTCATGTGTCACGATGACGCCCCCGCCTCCCTCACCTTACGCGACCCGTTCCAGCGCGGACAGATGCGGATGCCGAGAAGCGAAGGGACACCACCGCGCGGGGGCCAACACGCGCAACCCCAGTCCACAGTGGGCGGCACTCGCCTCCGCTTGGCCCCCGCTCTCCGCCCCCCCCCGGTGCGCCGGTGGCGCCAGGGCCGTCGGGATGCCGCCTCACAGTGTGGCGTCGCGCGAAGAGCGCGACCGTCTGCGCAAGGAGCTGCTGATCGCGGAGAAGGCCCTCACCCGGCAGCGCGACGAGGTGGCCCGCCGGCGGCGCGAGCTGCCCTGGGTGAGGGTGGAGAAGGATTACACCTTCGAGGCAGCGGGGGGCGCCACCGTGAGGCTGTCGGAGCTGTTCCGGGATGGCAAGGACGACCTTGTGGTGTACCACTTCATGTACGACCCCGACTGGGAGCTGCCCTGCGACCACTGCTGCTGCTGGGCGGATGGCTTCAACGCCTACCTGCCGTTCTTCGAGGACAAGTTCAACTTCGCGGTGGTGGCCAAGGCGCCGTACGAGAGGCTGGCGTCGGTGAACGAGATGAAGGGCTGGACGCTGCCAATGTACAGGTGGGGCCCTCCCCAGCCACGTTGTTTCAAAATGCAATGCACCTGGAGTGCCACGGGGGGCTGCGCTCATGGTCGCGCCCGCGCCGCCCGCCATCACTTCGCACCGTGGAATTCGGCTCTCCTTGGTCGTCGCAAAGTCCTGTTGCTGGCCGAGGACATTCGAGGGCCAGCGAGGCCCGGCGATAGACCGGGAGGGATGGGAGCGCCCCCCGCACCCTGCACCGCTTTCAGCCCCGACTTTTTGTCCTCTGCGCGCTCAGCTCCGCTGCAAGCGACTTCAACAAGGACTGCGAGGTGGAGGACGTCGTCGTGAAGGCCGGGGGAAAGGAGATACTGCTGTCGCAGGCGGCCGCCGTCAGCGTGTTCCGCAAGGAGGACGGGGTGGTCTACAGCACGTACAACACCTCGCAGAGGGGCCTGGAGTGCTTCAACGCGGTGCGCGTGATGTGGGGATCCACTGCTGTCAGACCCAGCCAGTCACGGCTGCGCCCCTGCTGCTCCGTGTCGCAAAAACTGTCGTGCAGTGTGTTCAGCCCCTGCCGAGTACCAAACTGCAGGGGTTTGCGGCCTTGGTGTGCAAGCCCCCGCCTGGCTGCCGCGCCTTGAACGCCCTTGCATGCAGATGTCGTACATGTTCACTGTGTTGCTGATGCTCCGGTTCTTCCCTGTTTTGGCCGCATGGTAAATACCGTGCTTTGGAATACTGTGGTGCGCAGGCGCTCCTGACCGTAGCGCCGTGCGATTGTCGTTGCTGTTACATGTTCACCAATCTCCATCGACCAAGACGATTCTCGATTTCTGTGCCCCAGGCGACATCTGATTGTGCAGACCATGTGTTCGAAGCCGTTGTTGACTGTGAACTGCAGTTGGCCAAATACTAATGAAGTAGTGCTGTATTCTGAAAACCTCGCAGAAGTGCCTCATTGCTTGCTTTTGTCCCACTTGCTCAATTGGATGTCACTTTGGTTCGCGGAAACAGCAGTCAGGCGTGCGCTGGGGGCAGGTATCCAACTTTACACACTTCAGGACAGCTGTTCCTCATCAATCACAATTGCTTGAGCCCTGTGGCTCGGATGAACGCAGATCTGGGCTTTCCTGGACACACTGCCCAACGGACGGGAGGGCTGGCACCCAAAGCACAGGCACCTGTACACTGGGAAACGATTTGAGAAGGAGGACCGTAGCTCCGAGTCACACAAGAGACGAAAGAGTCAGGACTAGCAGCCGGTGACTGCGGACGCGGACGACCGCCACTGGCCTCAAGGAACAGGAGGAACGATTTGTGAGCGTGTTGACGGCCCTGAATAGTTGCAAGAATCCAGTGCTGCGCTCGATTGCTGCTGATTATTGCAAAGTGTTCAAGCACTTGGCGTCCTCTTTTGAACAATAGATGTGCGCCTGTTTCCCCTGCCACAACTGATGATAAGATGTCCTTGATCGTAGCAGTGAGAAATTGACGCACTGAACACAAATTTGCACGCAATGGTGGCCAGTTCTCTTTTCGAGGACTTTTTGCACGCCGCCGATTGAATCGCAGGGACGTCTGGGTATCAGTAATGTCATCCAGCAGCATTGAAGCTCCAATGTAACGATCAAGATTGGCTGCATGGAACCACTCAGCTCGGAGTTCGTCCAATCCAGTTCGCCGCGTCTCTTTCCTTCGCTGCTGACAGGTTGCGACATTTTTTGCCAGAATATCACAGGCCAAACCGCCACTCATCGCCCCCGGCGTGGGCACGTACGCTTGGGTTACCCGGCTCGCTGCGTACGGGACGTGTATGGATGCCCGCTGCCCGTGCGCGGGTGGTGAGACCCTGCTCGCGCCAATAGGGACCGGTGTACGGGAGGCGTATGGACGCCACCGTAACCTCCTCAAACAAGTGTCATTTTGATTGGTCACCCAAACCAGTTGGCCCGGAGTGTGCGCGTCACGCCGGCCAACCGCCCCCTACCCGCGTGACATCAGGTGCCGATGCCGGCGCCACGCCCGACTGGGCCCCCGAGCACCCCCCAGCGCACCGCCCTTGCAAAACGATGTCGTAAGTGTTTGGTGGCCGGCCGCAGCCGCGCCGCCGTTGGTGGGCGGTGTAGTGTTCGGCGGCAGGCCATCCGCAGGCCATCCGGAGGCCATGCGCAGGCCATCCCGGAGTCATCCCGCGCCCCCACGCCAGAAACAAGGATGCCCCCCTCCGTGGTGTCCCGCGAGGAGTGGAATGCCGCGCGCCAGGAGCTGCTGGCCGCGGAGAAGGCCCTGACGCGGCAGCGCGACGAGGTGTCGCGCCAGCGGCGGGCCCTGCCCTGGGTGGCGCTGGAGAAGGACTACACCCTGCAGGACGCTGACGGGCGACCCGTGCGGTTCTCGGAGCTGTTCCGCGATGGCAAGGCCGACCTGGTGGTGTACCACTTCATGTATGACCCTGCCTGGCAGCTGCCCTGCGACCACTGCTGCTGCTGGGCGGAGGGTTACAATGCCTACGCCCCTTTCCTGGCCGACAAGTTCAACTTCGCCGTGGTGGCCAAGGCGCCCGCCGACCGGCTGAAGCTGGTGATGGCGATGAAGGGCTGGTCGCTGCCCATGTACAGGTGGGGACGCGCGGCGCGGTGGCCTCGGAGATCTGCGGATCGGCCCCGCCCAGGAGATTGCCGATGATTTCCCAGAAACTGGCGATTGAGCGCGACCCCCCAAAATGCCGACAATGCCAAGGTATTGCCGACGGATCGGCGGCCATCGGGCAACTGACATATGCGCACTGCGCCTGTGCCCGGCAGCTCTGGCGGGAGCGATTTCAACGCGGACTTCCACGTCGAGAACACGGTGATGAAGTGCGGCGGCCGGGAGGTGCCGCTGTCCCAGGGCCCGGGGCTGAACGTCTTCCGCAAGGAGGGCAGCGTGGTGTACCACACGTACAGCACCTACGGCAGGGGCCTCGAGGTCTTCAACGCGGTGGGTGGTCTGGAACGGGCTGCGCCCGCGCGTTGGTGGGGGCGGGCGGGGGTGTGGTTGGGGCCAGGGGCCCACGTGACTGGGGCGGGGCAAGAAGTCCTGGTGTTCCGGGAGGGCGTTTCGATACGGTTCACGCACATGAAGGCCCAGGCTTGGTCTTTCCGGCGTAAACACCGAGTGTGACCCGTATTTACGCGTTAAAGTACGTAAATTGTAAGCCGGTGTCCATAAAGACAGCATATGCAGACTCAAGGAGTGGGCAGAAACTACTTTTTGTTTGACGACGTCTTTCGCCTTGCCGAAGCAAGTGGACGTTGTGTTGCGTGTGCTCAAGGTGGCGGAGGACTGACCATTGTGTGCGAATTCATCGTATAACGTGAGTGCCCCAGTGGGCCGTGAACATAGCCGGAGAATTGGCCCCTTTGCACTTTGCGTGTTCACACGCATGAAACGTGAACACAAATATGTAAACGTAAACCTAAAGGCCAAGCCTGCAGAGACCTGCAAATCCTGACCGCCTCTATGTCGCCGTTTCCACATCGGGAAGAGGCACAAAAAGAGGACTGAGTGGAAACTGGGAAGAATGACTAGCGTTGGACACCAACCATCCGACTGGCCGACCGCCCAACTAGACAGCCGGCCATGGCAGCCGGACGGGGCACATCTGGGAAATTCCGTATTGGTGGGATTGGCGTTCTTGTGGGGCTTTTATCTTATCTATTTTGATTTTTTTTCTGCTGCTCCAACGTGGCTTTGGAGGCGAAACTTGGCGGGCTGCTTGGTTCCAGTTCGCGCCTGGGTGCAAATCTTACAGCCAAGCCCTGAAGCACCGTGGTACAGAACAACCAAACTCCAGTATACTGGGGCCGTGAAACCCCAGGGCACTGGAGGCTAATGCAGTGCACCCAAGCAGCACTGGAGCCGCCAAACCTTACCCCTAACTTTTATGAACATGGGCTAACCTCGAGCTGAGCTATCACCCAGTGTATCTGCACAAAGAGCAGCTTGCAGATACGATTGGTTAGCAGGACATTAGTGGCCAACGCCAGATCTGAGGTGGGAAAGCCTGTGCAATTTCCTGGCCATCGGTTTTGAAACGTGTGTTGCACGATCTGGTTATCGAATTGGCTGTATCAGGTTGCTATTTGTCACTTGCATTCATCTGGGCCTGGTACCCTTCATAACAAATTGTGGAGCAAAGACCGCTCATCTGGTGCAATCTAAGGCATCTGGGAGCCAACCCAATGTGGTCTCCCCACCACCATTCCCCCCCTTTCCCTTTTCAGGATTTGGTGCATCGTGCAGCTTGGGTCGCAGATCCTCTTTGATCGCGTTCTCCTATCCCTCAGCATGTTTGGCTTTGCATGATAAATTGTTGATCCATTGTGCCACAATCAGCACTGCACAACTGCAGATGTTGATTGGGCTGTGTGCTGTCAGTGATTGTAGAAGGAAACCTTCGTACGTGCTCTTTGCAATGCATTTGTGCTGCAAATAAATTGAGTAGCGGTACCCATCTGATTCGTCTGCTGTGAACCAGTTGTTCCGATGCGAATCTGCAGAATCTGTGCACTTTGCGCAGCTGCACACTTGAAATCCCTGTTTTTGTGGCATCCATGTGTGGCCAAGAACCCTGTTTTGGCTATCCACTTTCAGTTCTCTAAAGAGATCTGTCAGGGGGCTGTGTTGACCATTGCATCGACCAGCACGTTGTGAGCAAGACTTGGGGTGGCATCGCACCTTAGGGCACTGCCAGTTGGTGGCATTGTCTGGCTGATTCATGGCAAGTTCTCCTTGTAGCAGAATGTTCTGAATTTGTGTTGGCACACGCAGATCTGGGCGTTCTTGGACGTCCTCCCCAATGGCCGCGAGGGATGGCACCCAAAGCACAAGCACCTGTACAGGAAGAGAAAGCCAATCCCTGATGGTGAAGATTCTAAGTCGCGCAAGAGAGACAGAACTGAGAGCAGGGAATCCAAGCACTGTGAAGATCACAAGGCTGAGAGTTGAAGGGGAGAGGCGTGGCTGGCTTCCTCCAGTACCAATAGGAAAATAGCTGGTGCGTGGTACGGTAACTTGTGGCTGCTATATCGCAAATATCTCCAAGACTAGACTGCACCGTGGGCAAGAAGGGCTGGTCCTTGTTTGTGCTGTTGTGGGGGCCCAAAACCCAACAGTGGCAAGCACATGAATATAGTCAAAGGAGAATGGTTTAAGATTAGGCTGGGCAAAACTAGGGTAGGTTAGATTGTTTATGCCATGCTGTGCAGTAGGTATGTGCAGAAATTAGGGCAGTTGTTGAAAGACAGCTTGGGAGGTGTAAGTTGTTCTCGTGCAGCTATGTACGGGTCCATGTCGCTATGGTTTGGATTGTGTGGTGCACTTATGTGGTGGGAGAGGTGCCCTTGGTGGCCCAACATGTGCAGGAAACGATGGCCACCCTCACTTCCCGCCGCTATATAGAAGTAGCATTTTTGGGCTTGTGCTTTCCGAATGGAAATGGATGTTGCACCCCAAAAAAGAGTTGAACAAGTTCATTGATGCTGATTTCAGAGCATATTTCGCATGATTTTGCCTATCTGAATTGGCTCAACTATATGCTCGGCATTGAAGGTGAACTGGGCGTGCTGCTCGGTGCCATTCTTTTTGCACAGAGTTTTTACCTCCGACGGTTGGATGGTCTGGTCTTCAGCGTACTTTTGGTTGTGCACCTTTCCGTTCAGCGTGCCAGTGATGCTAGAGGAGTTTCTTGGCCGCTGATCTTTGGTTCGACATCGAACGCCGATGCCTTTTGTCGACGATATAGGTGTAGGCGGCGCGATTGTTCCATCACCACCAGCGCAAGTACCACCGAGTGCTGTTCTTCACAAGGAAATGGAAGTGTGCTGATAACGGCGGCAGGAGGAGTGCTTCATGCATACACATTTTGTTTGATAGTGTCTATATAGTGGGATTTTGGTGCTGTCATTCCCAAATTCGCAGTGCAGGATTGAGGGGATTCGACACTACACCTAACGCACGTCAACGCAATTGCAGTGCCTTTTCCGAAAACAGGCACCCATGAACAGCTGTTACCGCTTTCATCTTCAAATGGCACCTGTGAACAAGATGTGGACTGGGCAGTGAACAGGCGAAAGGAGAACAACCGCCAATAGGATCGTTCGAAATCGTATACAATCAAAGTTGCAGCCAGAAAGGGTGTGCACTCCCGATCACACAATGGGTCGGCCATTAAGGGAACAATCGATTCAGATAGTGCCTGTCGTGTGGCATACAGCGGTGTATAGGTCACGGCAGTGTGGATCAAAATTTCCTCAGACCTGCGTCGTGCTCTGCTGGCCTGTCGCCCTCTGCTTTGGGGTCCAATTATACCGACCTTGGTCTTCTCTTCACATTCAAATTCCAGGACGTTCCTGGGCTTAGATCTCCTTGTTGCTCCTACAACAGTTGCGCGTTGCTACCACTCATGATGCTCCTCCCGAGGTGCCTCAGAAAATTTCAAACAGTCATCCACGAGGGCGCTCCACAAGCCATGACGTTATCAAGGTAAAAAAATCGGTTCCGCAGGCGAGATTCATGCAATTCGCAAACTCCATCACATCGCATCGCCTGTGAAGATGTCAACTCGCACCGATTCTTGCTCGCGGCCTCTCCACATCTCCCAGCCACGCGTGCGCATAAAATGTCCCGGAGCCGCCTTCTTCCGCTCATGATTCAACAACACGTCGGCAACATAAATACTCTCTTCGGAGGCGTGTATCTTTACTTACCATCTTAGCATCCTCAGTGCATACAACTTCGAATTGGCGTCCCCCCCTTGCATGAACTTTCCGGGTTCCCTTTCCGCCCTTCTCCTCATATTGCGCAGGTCGTGGCACTGCAACCAACCTCATATTCACCCCCTGCCCTGTATGAGAGGTGCACTATTTTTTACTGGCCGCCGCCGGTTGCGCCATTTGTTGTTGCCCATTGCATTGCCCAGGAAGGCGTTCTCCACGTCCCCGACCTCGACCTGGCTGTCGGCCCTCCGAGCCGCCTCCCGTTTCCCCCGGCGGCTCTCCTGGACCCTGCCGCGCATTTCCTACAACTATTCACAACTTCCGGATGCCATTCACCACCAATGGGCCATATTTTGCCCTCTAGCCCTGGCTACTCATCTGTAAAAGGGGTAGCAAGGGTCGTAGCGGTACTTGTGAAGGACGAGGAAGTCTCCTTCATATGCACAGGTGCTTGGCGCACGGCTAATTGACGTCGAAGCAGCAAGCGAGCTGCTGCTGCAGCGTCGAGCCACCGAGAGGCTTGAGAGATAGGCTCCTGAGATGGATGGCAGCGGCACTCAGCGTCGCTGCGGCCTTTGAAGCGCCGAGAGGCTGAAGCCTCGGCACGAATGCCTTTGTATCGTCGTTTTGTAACCGCAGCAGCCTTGTGTCCAAGCCTTTGAGTGCTGTTTACAGCAGCAAGCACAGGCGTTCTTTCTATCATAGAAAGAACATAATGTCCGATCGGACATAATGTCCGATGACCGTACTCCGATCCCATTCAATGCGACTTAGATCACTAGACACACCCCCCGCACGCGCTATTCTGCACAGCCCGCTATCCCCCGTGATCTACAGCACTTTGCACTCTAGAGTGCAAGTTACTTTTGACAGGAAGGAACAGTCGGGTTGGAGATCTCCAAACCCGACTACTTCTTCTTCTTGGAAATTCTCGATGTTATCGGCATTAAATTGCAGTTTTCAAGGTGTGTTGTGTTCTTATTAAAGGTGTGTCGGCAAAGCTCACAGAATACTGTCAACTTCCAGACCAAGTCTAGTTTCCAGATTTATATCTTATGCTCTATGCGCCCAGCGTAGCGACGGGAGGCAACACACCTTGCGACACACGATACAATATGAGAGGCAGGTCAAGCGCCCCGACAGTCTCGGGCCGAGACGCCAATACTAGCCTGCGATTTCGACATGTCTTCACCTTCCCGGCAATCCAAACCTTGGAGACTTCCCAGTTTGTCGGTCGCGTTGCGCCTGCCTACCCAGGTCCAAAAGTGTGCGATTCGCACAGTTGCTAACTGTATTCAAACTGCGTCAAAATGGGGATAAGTCGTGTGCATGCACACGATCTAACACTTGTTTGGAGTTCATTCCGTGCCAAAGCGAGACGAACTCGTACTATCCGTCACGTGATATTGGTTCCCACTTTCGCCAGGGACACCGCAGCTCCGTCACCTGCATCTATTCACTGTTACCATTAATTTGACAGAAATGGCAACTTTGGCCGATAATAAATGAGGCGTTGTTTGTGCGTTCGTCAGCCGCACTGGCACGGTCGCTCCCAGGCACGGGAAGCAAGCCGCAACCAGATGACATTACAAGACAAGTGTACCAATCAAATACTGTACAAGGAAATGTCCATTCTTAGTAAAGCACCATGTTCACCATATTCACCATGTTTCTGCCACCATATTCACCATGTGTGTCCAACACATCATATCATTACTCACATTCACCATATGTGTCCAACCACACCATATTATTTCTCACAATAAATGTTGAAAACGCCAACCCATGGGGCGATTGAAAAAAGTGCTCCGGCATTTCTTCAACTCCCATCTGTTCACCAGCATGACAGCAAAAGCTTGCGAGATCCCCTCATCGCATCTGCTTGCCGCTGCACAATGATACGAGATGCAAGTATTTTCGAGGCTCTAATGACGCAAAAATGGACGGCCTTGCGGCAGCATTTATCTATTGTCCTGAGAATTCGGAGTCCTTTCACCAGCCAATCTGCCTTCCTGCTTTCCTTTTCCATTGTGGCTGTTGAGCCAGCAGATACTCATAAATCGCGGTCAACCTGTGGACGGCCTTGCGTCACAGTATATCCACTGTCCTGAAAATTCGGAGTCCCTTTCACCAGCCAATCTGCCTTCCTGCTTTCCTCTTCCATTGTGGCTGTTGAGCCAGCAGATATTCATAAATCGTGGTCAACGTGCTTCTTTTCCTTCCTGTCTGTGAAGCTCTGCGCTGTGCTTTTAAAGCAAATATGCCGCTTTGTATCAGAGCTCAGCAGCCGCCCATGTCAATCCTGGCCGGTCAGTAGTGCGTGTCACACAGGCAGCCACCACGTGTCAGTTGTGCTCTGACATCGAATGTTAATGCAGCATCACTGCCACTGCAATATATTCACCGCTTCGGCAGTTTGAACATGCGCTTTCACTTTCTGAGCTTTGTTCCTCGGCATTCTGCCCAGTAAACTTACCCCACTCCCCTCCTTTCCTTTCCTTTTTTTCCAGTCGGCACAGAGTCAGGAGGGAGCAGCTACCAGCACAAAGGCGCCGCTTGGTCGAGTCAGCGGTCGTGTCGAAACACCGGCGTTAGAGGGACTCGGCCAGCCGTGTTCCCTGGCGGGCGCAATCAGACGGGGAGCCAGCGCGGACATCTTGCTGTCCTTGTCAGCGGGTTAAGGGCATATACATTGTCCTTGGGGAGGGATGCAAGGCGTTCCCATTGAGCCCGTTGCCAGCCCGGCTTCAAAAGGGAACGCCCAGCCACGGGCACTGGCTGGCGCAATTCGAAGGGGAGGCCGCACGATCAATTGTGAAGTTCCTTGTCTGCACCATTGGAGCACAGATTTGGTGCACTTGGGGAGGGACGTGAGCCGTTCCCTTTGATGGCGTTGCAGTCGCATTGTCCAGCGAGGCTGTCGTCAGCCTGCACCGACTACTGCGCAAAAAATGGTCTAGGTAAGCCCCGGCACAAAAGCACAAGCTAAAGTCCGGTGTGGTGCGCTGAAAGTTGCTGCATCGCTTTCCTTAAAAACCGACGTTTCTCACATTAGGCCACATGAGCTCCGCTTTCTATTTTCTTCGCTCCGCAAAACAGGGCAGGACAGTGCATCGCTGTGCCGAAGAATTAAATGAAGCACAGTAAAGGCGAATGCAACAATCGGGCTGAAAACCGACCCGCACAAAATCTCCCACCCAGCTTTGATGCGGCTGAGCAAAAGCAAGGCCAGATTGGGATGGAACACCGCCAAGTCCGCACCAGACCAAACACTGTACTCTCTACTGTACAATACGTCGCCCTTTGGCAGTCAGGAGACAGTGCCCTGCTGTGGTCGGCTGTGGCTGCTGAGCGCCAGATTCTCATGATCACAGCACAGGCGTGGTGCATGTGGGCCGCAGGATTCGCCCGCACATTGGCAACCAACTGATGGACTCGCCCACGAGCTCATCCCAAGCTAATAGATCAAAAATGTTGCAACAATGAATTGTGTCGCTGCTTGATTGTCTAGCTTCGCCCCAAAGGCTTCAGAGGGTCAAGCAAAGTTCATGCGTTCAGCCCACCACCCATCAATGTACATCGTTCACAGCTGACAAAGGGCCCCCTACCATTTATTCTGCCACTCTGCCATGCTGCCCATTCAGTTAATCGCCCTTAGAGCCACCGGGCATTGAGGTTCAGCTTGATGAGGACCACAAACCGCAGGGAACCTGTTTCAGTCAGGCACAGTTTTAGCCTGCTGGTGCGCAGAAAGAAGTCAGTGGGGGCGAGCCATCTGGACCCATCCTTGTCAATGACTTTGCGCACTTCCCCACATCGTATGGTCACCTGCACATGTGGGATCAGCTTGTTCACGTACTCACAGTCACATTTCACTGCGCTCGCACAGCACAAACGTACACCCAAACCCTGGCTGCCCTGTTTGTCCTTTCCTCCCTCAACTTTCATCCACCAATTCGAGCCCGCGTAGAAGCACTTATCTGACTCCCACCGCCCGAACAGGCCAACGTTCATGACGTCCTCCAGTTCGCAGGAAAACCGGAATGGGGGCATGCCTTTGGCTTGGCACAGGGAACTTGCACTGCAGCTCATCTCAGCATTGTGCATGTCTTGGATGGCCATTTTTAGCAAGCGCGCTTTCAACATTCCATGCCAGAAAGCCTGCAACCCTTCCTCAATGCCCAAGTCGTCAAGCCTATTGGAAACCTCCATTACTTCCCTATCCCGGAGGTGTTCATACAGGATCCCATTTTCTAGGACATCCACAAACGCCTCTCGCAGCTCAACAAGCTCCGAGCGTCCACTATTCAAGGCCGGCAGTGCCCCGCTTGTTTCAGAATCGCCCTCAGGTGGGCGATTGGTGCAAGCAGTCTGTGCACAATCCTGAAATTCGTCCTCCTTGCCTTCGAACCTCAACTCAATATGTCCGTTATCCTCATCACTGCTCGGCCCCAAATTTGCCCACGCAGCCTCCATTTTGGCCCCGAACACATCAGTCACCAACCTGAACCGTAGTATCTCCGTCGGCACTGCCAGAGCATCCGACTTCAATATGTCTCGCAGAACCCCAAGGGGCACACGGAGCAACTGTCTTCTCAGCTCAAACGCGTACTGCTTATAATATGTAGCACAGGCCTCAAGCAACACATCGCTAGCCAGGTACCCGCGGGTGGCCGCCAGGTGAAGGATGTCAGCCACATTGGTGAGAGTCAGGTGTGCCGCAACGAACTCTGCACAGCGCATCGCCACAGCAGACATCTGCAGAAACGAGGCGGCTGCATAAAACCCCTTAGCATTGTCCATGTTAAGGCCCATGTCCCTCCCGTACATAGTCGCCACCACAGCTTCAAAGCTTGCAGCCGTCACCAGGTCGTCTTCCACGGCCAGCGTATAAACCTTCTGGTGCTCCTTCCATTCGCCCAGGAACAGCGACCTGAACAAAGGGCTCTCGCACACCACCAAGCGGTGCAACTGGAACTGAGCGCCCTTGACGTCGATCGTGACGTCTGCGAAGTGTTTTTCGGTCCAGGCTTCACTTGCAACGGTGTGGAGCAGGACCTTGGGATTGTGGAGCTTGGGGGGCATGACGCCCATGTGCTCCTCTGCACTGTCCATGGCCTGTGCAGCCTGCAGCGCACACAACCCTTCAGTTGTGGGGACTGACCCACTACAGAACATGATCGGGCGGCCACTTTTGGTCAGCCCACAACATCGCACACACTGTTCTGGCGCCGCGGATAAGACGTCAATTCTTTTCGCCAGCTGGCAAACACCAGTAGAAAACAGCCTATTTGCGATGCCAACTGCGATGCCATTTTGACACAAATTGATGCCATCACAGCCCCTTTCATGCCATCGCACTCACTGTGATGATATCAATTTGTGTCAAAATGGTATCGCAGCTGGCATCGCAAACAGACCGTTTTGTACCAGTGAAAGCACTGCACAAACTGTGTTGGCAAGGGGCAAAAATGGGGGATGAAAAGGCCCAATCCGAAGGGTAAGTCGTTTCCGCTTGCCCATCGCGTTTCGGAGCTTTGCGAGTCCGCCTCCACTGCTCAAGTTTGAGTGGAGCCTCTAGAAAGTGACTCCTATCCCATTCATGCCACACTGTACATTACTGCACCAGCGCTGGCTTCCTGGCATGGTCGGCATCTTGCCGACCGCATGAGCCTCAGCGAGCCCGCCACATCTTCCCAGGACTTCCCCTCCTTGGCGCTGGGGCACAATTTCCCCCGGGGATGAGAGGGTTGTGAACTAACAACAGAGCCACCGCGTCCATGGCAATCCAAGTGTGCGCCCGATTGCCTCCGTGCCCCACAGAGAGACCAGCCGTTCAGTCTCATGGGCGCGCCGGCCCGGGCGCGGAAGGCGCAGGAGTTCGCGAGCAGCGCATCCCGACTTCTCGCCCCGCTTCCGCGCGATCAGACGTTGCCGCGAGCTTTCCCGGTCACACGCGGGGCGCCCGTCACGCCCCCGCCCCGCGCTCGGCATGGCCCCGTCCCCGCGGCGCCAATCCAAAACGGGGGCCCTCATCACTGCATTGGCGCTCGATCCACACGCGAGGCCCGGCCTTCGGGGGCCACTGCGCGGCGCTCATGCACCCGCAGGCGCGCGTGGGGTCGTCCCTCCAACAACCCGGGATCGCGACTGTGGGCAAACATTCAAATGGAATGCAATGGCGGCACCGGTTCCGAAATCGGTGCCGAAGGGCAATACTGGAGCCCATGCCTCCCAGGGGGGCCCGTCGCGGGGCGCGCCGCGGGTTATCTCCCCCCCTCCCCCCAACCGGGCACGCGAGCGCCCACCTTCGGCATGGTCGCCGCTGCCGATGCGCGTCGATGGCTCAAGCCGGGCAGCCCGGGGGTTCGCCCGGCGGCGGCGGGTGCAGCCCAAGCGCCTCGCCCCGCCTCGGCGTCTGCTCCCTGCGCTCTGCAGCTGGGCTGCCGGCCACAGGGCAATGCCCCCTGGAGCCTCCAGTCAGCAGGGAGGCGCCAGAAGATGCCTCACGGGGAAGAATCCCAAGGGGATGATGTCTGGGTTGCCTAATACTTTGAGGTGGAACGGGCGGGGCGCGTGGGCCCCCGGGCTCGCGCGCCGGCGCACAGTACCGCCCATGTCGGACTCAGCCCTCCGCCGTCCGCATCCATCCTGCCTGTATTCGTCCGCGATTTGGCGATCACGCAAGGGGCGCTCGCCGCCGGTGCGACAGGGGCCACGGTTTAGCACCCCCTTGGCCCGCGAGCGGCCAGTTTTCGGGGCTGGTCGGGCCCGCCCCGCAGTACTTTGGTTCGGCACAAATTCGCAAAGTACATTGCGGTACGCGCCCCTTGGTCGCGCTGCCGCATTGCGCATGGGTACGCACGGTGCCGCTGGTCCTGTGCCACGCGCCCTGCATGCCGTGCGAGCGTCCCCAAAAGGGCAGGGGCAATTTGCGGCGGCGGGCTCAACCGGCTGCGCCGTGTACTGTGGCCTGCTGGACAAAATATGCAGATAGATTCTGCAGGCTTATCCTGGAGGTTCCAGTACCAGGTAACTGCAGCAACTTGATTCAACGATCTGCTTCGCGACTTGATGTTCTGCTCTTCTCTCCGGCTCGGCGCTGTGCAACCGGTGTATCCACAATCGAGTATCCGGAATATCCTTCAGCGCCCAGAATCGAGTTTGGGAACCCTGTGGGACGATGCTGCCGCGGCCTGTGGAATGCAAGGTGACAAATGCACGAGGAGTCGTCACGATCCCATGACGGCGACGACAACTGTGATGGCTGCATGCGAGGAATCGCCTTCCTCGATGATGGAACCACCCGACTGGAGCGGCGTGGCTTTCGGCGTCTGAGCGTGAACAGTCATATCCACCCGGGGGCGAGTGCGCTGCTGCTGGACCGCCTTCCGTCTACAAGTCGATTTTCAAGTTCAGGCTCGCAGAAGCGTCACATGAACCCGCGTTTGGAATTTCCCAAGACAGCCCTGCGGATCTAAAGTACCGAAAATCCGCGGCCAGGTTTCGTCGCGCATTGTTTGAATCCAGAGTTCGTGTAAGCCGTAGTTGGACCGCATCCCCCGCCCCGACGCCCCGAGCCATAAATAGGTACGTCACGCGCAACCCCAAACGCCGACACCGCCGCGACGCTCGCTGTTCCCAGCCCTGCCAGCGATCCAAGGACCGGGCGCACATCCGCTTGGTTCAAATCGAGGGCCGGCAACAGCAGGCGCACGCCCGCGCCGTCCGTGTGCAATCAACGAAGCACCGCCGCGCGTGGAAGCGTCGCATCCCGCGGATCGCCTCTCACAGGGAGGAGAAGGCGGGAGGAAAAAGCACGAGGAGAAGAAGGTAATTGCCTTCTTCTCCCGCTGGAGCCCCCTCGTGGAGTGCGCCCTCCGCGGCTGCTCGACGCACGCGTGAAAGTCCGGAGCGATCCAGCCGGGTCTGGGGCAGCGACGGTCACCGGACTGGCCTCGATTTGCCGCCCATTGCCCCCATCTGCTCGCGTGTTTTATCTCCACGAAAGCTTTCAGGCGGGGACGGTGCGTACATGGTCGGCAATATTGGATCGGCCCGGCTTCCGTGGGCGCCGCGGACGGAAACAGTGTGGGCTTGCTCGGATCCACGAAGTTCTTTTGGCAGCGCCGCCCTTGCGCAAGCGAGCCCCCGGATCGCCGCCTTCTTCCGCCCTGTTGGCGCCCTTTCCATGCCCGACTTGGCGGGATGGCCGTCGGCGCCTTTTCGCACGGGGCCGTGCGGACGCGGCCGCAGATCTGAACGACTTGAACGAATGCGGGACAGAAAATCGCGCTTGAAATCGCTTGAGCGCCCGCCATCCCCTGCAAGGTGCAACGGCGCCGCTCTGCCTTTCGAAGCCAGTTTCACACAAGGGATTGTGGCCACTGCAGCTCTGAAGATCGGGCCCAGAACGGCGCCAGCTTCCGGCGGACGCTCCGATCCGCACTTGAGCTCTACAGCGCGGGGCCCATGCGCTTGCAAAAGTATCGCCCACCTCGCACAGTTTCTGTCCGTGTTCAAATGTTTCAAAATGGGACCAGATCGCGTTGTCTTAACCTTCTTGGCGCCACTTCTTCTCCAGTGAAACGGCCGCGCCGGCATCGCCTTGGTGCTTCGAAGGCGAATTGAAGCAGAAGCATTTGAGCGAGTCGTGGCGATGAAGACGCCGGGGTCGCGCATCAGGAAGATCGGCAAGTACGTGCTGTTGGAGACGATCGGCACGGGCGGGTTCTCCACGGTGCACGTGTGCCGCCACGAGGAGACGGGCGCGGAGGTGGCCGTCAAGATCGGCCAGGCGTCGGTGTGGGAGGAGTACGTGGAGTCCGAGGGCCTGGAGGGCATGATGCACATGGACGAGTGGAACGCGTACAAGAGGCTGAACTACGGGCGCGGGGAGGCCAACGCGAGTGGCGTGCCGACCGTGTACGAAACAGGTGAGATAGGGGGTGGGAGTGTGGCGGGGTGATCTGCCGGAATCTGTCGGCTTCTGCCCACGACGTTGGGAAGCAGAAACCGGCATGCCGTTCCTTCGCTGTACGTCCATGCTTTCTTTTGCTTTGCTTTTCTTTCTTCCATGGCGGCGGCTTGTTTGATGTTGGTGAGAAATCTGGAAAGTGCTCTTGAGGGATCAGCGCCGCGTGCTTGCGACGGTTGGGAGGCTACAGCTTGCCTGAATTTTGCGTTCCTTGCAGGGCTCATCAAGCTGTCGGAGCAGGAAATATACCCGTACCTTGTAATCCAGCTGCTCGGAAGGTAACGGCTTAAGGGTCCATGGATTCTGTTAGTCGCCGGATTGAGAAACATATGCACTGTCAATTGATAGGCTCCCAAGTATTGGACAACGAGTTGGTCATTGAAATGAAAATTGCTGCATCCATTTTTGTGCATCGGTTCCAATATTTGATCGCTTCCCTACCTGCATTTCATCCACTGTGTTTAGCCAGTTGTGCTTGATGCATCTGCGAACAGCGCTTTGGACGTGGCCATTTTGATCTCTGCTTCTGGGCAAAACCAAAGATCGAAAAAATATTTGATTTTCTGTCCAACTGTGAATGGTAGGGTTTCTTGCCTCTGCTAATGCCTGCGAAGTTGCAGCAAGTCGAGCTCTATCAAAATGCGCCTTAGATCTGCACCACTCAGAATACCCAATCCGAGTTTTGCAGGAATGTTGGAGGCCTCAGCACCGAGACGTCCACCAACAATGCATATTTCGCGTGGATCGCCAGAAACATGCTGTCTGTTCTGGTTTACATGCACTCAAAGGGCCTTGTTCACAGGGATGTGAAGGTGCGCTTACTTCGACCGGTTGATCAATTTAGCCAGGCTTTTGAATCAAGCAGCAGTCATCGTTGGACATGCAAACCGTTACCGTACATCATGTACCAAGCAAAGGCATCCGTCGAATGGGTGTTATCTGAATAAGAGTCCCAAGATCTCGGGATTGTCATTGGCTCTCAGTCCTGGTATGGATGTAGCAATATGACGTATGAAGCGCAAATATCGGTTTCCTTTGAAGAGTGCTTGATTTGTTGTGAACCGATGACTGCAAGCAAATTTCTAAAGGCCGCAACAGTATTCGTGAATACTGTTACGAAATCTCTGTGCAGATAGACATAGGCCAAGACATACACCTGTTTGTTGTTGTTCAGCGTCGTTGCACTGGCTTTATGCATTGCTTTCCCGCACAGTTGTACATTCCCATGGGGGATGCCTTGGGCACAGTGAATTAGAATTCTCCTTGATGTCGATATTTCTTGCGGTTGTACTATTGTCAATCCGGAAGCCCGACTCATCGGGAGTTTGACTTATTATGTTGTTGGCTGCAGCCCTCCAATTTCTGCGTCGGAAGGAGTTCTCAGGAGAGTGCTGTATATATTCTAGACATGGGTACGAGGCTCACCTAAGTATCCCAATATGTGCAACTGAAAACCTTTTCATGTACTCGAAAACTGCGCACACTGCATATCTCTTACACCAAGCTCACTGCAGCTGTGCGTGAAGAGGTCAATGCGATGTTGCTGCACTTGTGGCAATGCTGCTGCTCCGCCATGGGAACATCTAAAAAATATCATGATAGTTGCAGGAATTGCGTCCACGTACATCTGGGGGTGCAGTTTGCATCCTTCACATCAGGCGATTTCAATCCTTTTTACCATATATTTCATCTATCATGTCCATCTCGTTTCCCTCTGAGCATCGCGCAGCCATTGATGCATAGCCACACCAATGCAAAGGCTTTCTGAATATTTCGGTGCCATCGTGCTCCAGTAGACTGTTGGAACAGCTCTGCTTGGTGTTCCAATGTCCATCACATCATACTGTTGGAATGGCTCACAGGATTTGCTGTTCAACGACCGAAAGAAGGAGACTGTCCAAACGACGACTTTGTGGGAACGCCGGACTATGCCAGCACCGGTGCCCTAAAAGGTTTCAGGTCCGTACACAAAGTGTGCAAATCCTTCGTTACATTCACCGTTCGACCAATTTGGCCGATCAATGGCAAAGCCTTTCCCTGCAACGTGCAAAGCGACATATGGAATCGACCTGCGCACGAAGTATCCAGAACGGCATCATAGCAGATTATCCAGGCAAAATTACGGCTTGTTGCCCACACATTTGTGTTCCAGTACAAGCCTTGAGTTTGACTGCCTTCGGCACGGCTCGTCGCACTCGCAGTCACCCAAATGTTGGCGACGCGCCAGGAGTGACAGATTCCAGATTGATCGGGCCACTCGATGCAGGCGGTGCAATAATGAGTATCGTTGGACTGGGTCTGCCATTCGATCGATGATTGTGCGCACAATTGTGAGCATGTCCAAGCACGCCTGAATTGGGCATTCTTTCTCGAGTTCTGGGCCGGCATTGAACGGGACAGGATGCTCGATTTGGCGCAGACATGGTGGCTGCCGTGTCCACCACTCCACACTCCACGCTCGGCTCCCTTCCCATAACCTTGCTCCAGAATACCGTGGTGGCTAAAACCTCGACTTCTTTGGGGAGAATAGAAACAGGACAACACCCCCTTTCATGAATACCCCACCACTGCCGCGCACTCTAACGCACATCACGTTCCAAGCCTTCCTGGGCAGTGCGCGGGCCAAATGGACCATTCATACGCTCACCACGGCCCGGGCCCCCGCCACGACGCTTGGATCTTCCGTTCCCCAGGCAGGGTCCCAAGGATGATTTGGAGTGCCTTGGGTACTCCCTGCTGGAGCTGTGGATGGGCGACCTGCCGTGGTACCTCACCACCGACGAGTCCGCCAAGGAGGGCTGGACGCCCAGTAACCTCCGGCGCATGGCGGAGAAGCGGGAGGCCATGTGGAACGATCTCAACGCGCGGGGGGAGGTGCCCAAGTTCTTCGTGGAGTGGATGGATTACGTGACTGGCCTGGAGGGCTTCGACGTGCCAGACGTCGGGGTGGGGCGGCGCTGAGCTGGGCGTTCCCACCACTGTTGGAAATAGGCAAAATCGCAGAGTTGGGCATAATGCAAGGGGATGGTGCTGCGAAATATTTTACCTCAAACCAAATTCCCTAGTATGTTTAATATGTGTGCAAATATGTGTGCTGATACAGTTGATGTTTCGAACATTTTGACATTATGTAAATGTCGAAACACCAACAACAACAATTGAATATTGTTTTAAATACTGACTTGGCATAAGAAAGGAATTTTCGTACAGTGCGAAATTACCATTCCCGCAAGCTACATGTCACATTTTGCCAGATAATATTTACCCACATTTTCTTGTCAATAAAGAATGTGTTGTCTCCACTGGGACGCCAGATGATGCAAACATGTGCACACATCATCGTGTACCCTCATCTGTTGAATGCCTCGCCAGATATTGGGACGCACCTCACGACCCATCGTCAGGGTGGTCGTTGGAAAACTATACCTTGATCCATGCAAGGATATTTCACGTTGTTGTACACCGTGTGGCGCGACCCACACACATCGCGCAAGTGTCAGCGAATGCCCGCGCTGCGCGCCCGGGTTGCCTTGACGTCGTGTGCACTGGTATGAGGCGACCTTCGATTTTCCACTGCAAGTATGGCATTATCTGCCTCAGCCACACCACTCACAGGAGCTCATCCCATAATCCATCATGCATAGACAAGTGCGAATCGAGCAGCACTCATTCCCATTCCCGCCACCAAGTTGACGGCGCTGTGTACTTGCCGATCGTGGCCTTGAAAACACAAGGATACCTAGTGTATTCAACCCTTCCGCATAGTAACGTAACGGTTAATCTTTTTTGGCCGGGAAAACAACAAATAAAAGACGCTCTTCTAAAAGATTGCGGCGGAGCAACGTGGAAAAATTAAAAAGAACGCTTTGGAAAAAGCGGGGCAAAATGCGTGACGGAAAATTTTAGATGCGGAAAGGCTAATTATCCAACAGTACGGCGATGCTACTTTCGGCACACACAAACAACGCTTGATGGCATGATTGTAACATAAGCGCGTTTTCTGTCGCCCCAGCCCCTTTACGACCTAATCTCGGGCCTGGAAGCGACGCCGACCAAGGAGCCCTTCAAGGAGCCAAAGAAGCAGACGCCATCGAAGAGGAAGACCCTGGACACGACGGGCGTGTGCTTGAAAGACGGCGGCCCCCTGAAGAAGCCCAGAGCACAGGAGCTGGAGGCGGAGGAATGAAGTGCTCCCTACGGCCACGTCCGCCGCACATTTCTACCGGCCGTTTGCGTACAGCTGTGGAGGGGCCTCCGATGTACCAACGGAAGGGGGGGGATCCCGGCGGTCGGGGGGCGGGGGGAGCCGCGCTTTCGTTTGCCCGTCTGGGGAAAAGAGCACGATGGGAGCGCGCAGGAAGAGGCTCGGGCGCCGGCCAAGATGGGGGTGCTATCATTCGAAACGCGCCTGAAAATGGAGCGAGAGGCGCCCCAACGAAACGACCGGCGGTGGAGCGCCGAGTTCGGGAATGGGCCAATTAATTGAGGCGGGTAGGCTGCCCGTTGATGGCGCAACGCAGGCGAGGTGTGCTTCTTGGGCACCGAATTACATACTGTGTTATTGTGTAAATTGTGTGATGTTCTGGCACGCCTGATGTGACGCTCTTGCCAAACAGCTGGGCGCACGGAGTTGCTGGATGTTGGATCGATTTGAGATCCCGCGCTTGGCGCCTGCTCAGGCGGAATCCTTTGAATTTGGAATCTTTGGCGCCGGATGGCGCGTGCACTGGCAGCAATGGTGGGCGGACATTAGCATGGTATCGCATTTTCAAGTGGTCGACGCGCTCATCGACACGCAATCCGGAATTCTGGTGCTGTCTGCTGTCTTCACGCTGCACATTATGAAACAGTGCACATACCAACAGCAGCGTGGCCTCCAGCACAGGTTGTCCTCCATCTGCTAGCAAGCCTATAGCCGTCTGCCATGCAGATGATTATGCCCTAGTCATCGAAATGGTGACCTTTCCTGCTCACCAAATCCTTGTACATTCGCCCCCCAAAAGGTCCTTAGATATAACCCCTTGTTTACAATTTTCCCCATGGTTTTCCAGTGACCCTTGCCTCAGGCAACATGTGCAATGCATACGCTGGATCCACTGTGAAAATGATCGTGTCTCTTCCCCCATGGCTTATATTCTTGCAGAGTGGTCCCGTGCACAACGGTTACGGGGCGCTGGCTCACGAAAGGCTCGAGCCATGTCACTGAGTCAGTTGTTATCACAATGGCACCCTGATCATACTGGTATCCAAATCAATTCTAACATCAAGTCTAGCACCTCACTGCGCAGTGAGATACCTCCGCCATCCACATGAAAGGGGGGGGGGGGGGGGGGCGCCGGCCAATTGCCCTGAACGTGGTCCGCATCCTGTCTCTCACTTGCCGTGGCTGGGTCGGCGGAAGACACGCGCACTCAGTCAAAAGCCTGCCGTGAATTACAAACGGCAACTTGATACTCCTTGGACTATCGTGCACCACCAGCAGGCACGCCGCTGGCCTCCACCTGTCGCTTCAACCGACCCCGTAGCTGGTTCTGGCGACGGCTATTCCGCAATCCTTGTCCAACGCCAGACGTGCAGCTAGAAGTTGACCGGCCCCCGCATTCTGGCAACTCAGGTTGGGGCGCAGGTCCTTAGCAAATATTCCTATGTCCGCACGGGCGGATATCCTGCGTAATACAGAGGTGGGAGAGCAGCGTTGATGGGTGATGCGTTATTCAAAGCTTACACTAGACATGCAGCCTTTACATTCGCCAGTGAGGGGGAAAGTTCCAGTAATTTCCCCCGCCGCAATGGCCTACCCCCGTGATTGCAACGACGGATATCGGTTCCGCTCGCTGGGATCTTATGCAATGTTCCTAAATCAGGAATGCAAGTAACGCATTCCGCGAATATCAATGCGCACTTCCTATTACCAGGACATTGAGATTGCACTGCCTCATGCACGCACTAAACGTGCGCTCATCCCGCCTGCTGCGGCAAATTGCTGGGGCAGATGCACACCCCCGGGTCTTCGCATTTCGGGCAGCGCCACATGTGCCTGGGCGTCTCTTTCCACAGCTCGTATGTGCAGCCGCTCCTGTAGGGCATCGAGGACAATGCGTCAGACTAATGGTGATTTCAGTTCTGATACTTTTGATAGGCAAACGTTGTGCTTCCAGCCCAAGGCGACGTCCTCTGTTCACTTGATGCACGCAAATCAGATTAGAGTACTCGAACACACAAAGGACACTCTGACTGAATTCCGCTGCAGTTTTGACTCATTTCTGGATTCAGGAACAGAATCGCTGGTCGTGATGATTGATGTGCATTATGTAGCGCTCACGACAGCTAACGTGGTCTACACTCCACCAGTTTCAGAACAAGTGCATCCACAAACAATTCGAAAGATCACGGGGTTCGTTCATGGTTTGATCACATATAGTCTCAACCCCGACGACATGTACCTAGGACAAAATCATAACAAGGATGACACATGCGCAATCGTACGGCACAATGTCGTGTCGACTCACGAGAGGCATCCGCATGTGGTGTCGTCGTTTTTGCAGCACTCGAGCAACGTTGCGCTGGTGCAGACCCCATAAATGCATCCAATGAGGTCGTCGTCGAAGTCCAGGGCATTGGCAAACGATCGCTCATTGCCGTCCTCTATAGCAAAGCTTCTTGCAGCTGTAGCAAAACAAACGAGCGCTTTGAGATCAACTGCAAGTGAAACTGCTGCCGAAGATTTATTTTGGTCATATCCAGGGTCATGGCAACTCTGTCACCGACGTTTCTGTGGGTTATTACTAGTATATGTTTCATAATTGACCATAAAATTGCCTTGAATAGCTAGGCGATGGTCTAGCTATTGTTTTCCAGGGTAAGAAGAAAATTTGTGCCACAAACAACACATTCCATACCCTTGTAACATAGATGCATTGTGGATCTCAAATTGTACCAATACCACCACAATCTCGCTGGAAACATCACTGTCGTTGAATGCCCAATCCCCTTATTTCCAAAACGATGCTCTGTAACAGAAAGCCTGGATGCTAACCACAAACGTTGAACAGGAAAGTGTGCAGTATCCAGGACTGCCTGAGATGTTGTTGTGATTCAGACAGTACCAACACGCGCCCAACCACTGACACATTACCGTTGCTCCTGTGCCCTGAACTTTTAGCTCCCTCCAGTACTGAATATCTGTTGCCAAACACTATCACGCCCTTGCAGAACGCTGGCAAACTAACTCAGTCTGATCATCTGAATGCGGTGGACACGCATCATGGCCAGCGTGTCGTTTCCATGTTATTGTAAAGAATGCACCCACTCCTGGATGAGTCACAAGGGGAGTCAATTTTCATCAGTAAGATTGCACTCTTCCAAGCCTCCCTGCTCATATTTAACATAGCTTGTGCTTGTTTCATCCTACCCCACCTTCCAATGCGATCTTGAGACTCGAGCAGCCATTCCTAGCATAGATCGAGGAAGCAGCGATGGCAAACGCCTTTGCAACTCTGCCACCCTCAGCCATGCCAAGTGCCGTGAGCACTGCAAACGCCTCTTCGTATCCCTCAGTTTGGGAGATGTTGAAGGCCTTTGCCAAGGCTGGGACATAGGAGCACGAATGGAACTTTCAGCACGATGTATCGTTCAATACACGGCGTGAAAATAACAATGTGCAGGTTATTGCCAGCAGCAGAGCGCATTCCAAATCCCCGTGCTAATGAGAAGGGTCGACTTGAATTGTTGCCTCCACATGGCCTGAGTTCAAAACAATTACAATGGCAACTTGATTTATTCTGTAAACCTTGGGCCCATATTTGTATCGCATCTGCTTACTGAAATTCAGTACCAGTACCATAGAACGTACCAGAGCGGGGATGCATCGCTTGGTAACTGTACGATGAAATAAACAATGTGAGTGTCAGTTTAGGCAAGAATCAGTGCTCTCTAGCGTACTGATATGCCTTAAGCTCTAGATTTGCAATATTCCGTGCGAAAGAAGTGGTGGTCGAACACCCAGAACTGGCTATATTGCGAAGCGCATCTCTAATTCATAATTCTCTGTGAAAATCAAGAAAAGGCTCGTCAACATACAAACTTCTAGTTGTTGCGCACAATTTTAGACTCCACAATGGAACTGGGAAAAATATCGGCATCAGCAAAACTGCTGCCTGCTGAGCGAACGAACGGATGGACGATATCCAGATTTCAACATTGTAGTTGCCACACATTGTAAACATCGTTGTCAGCATGAATCCATCGCCAAAGAGCACCGCACGCACCTTCGGCCGCTTTTGGGACTGGACACGCCGCGTACTCAGTGTTGGGAGGGCAAGGCTGTTCCACTGTCTCAGCAATGCCACGGACGATCGGCTCCAGCTCTCCATCGGCCAAGGCGTCTACAATGGCTTCAGCAACTGGATCGGTACCTGTTATCAAAAAGATACCCATTGGTGGAATTAAATCCGCAGGAACTACCCCTCATCCTGATGTTTCAACATTTCTGGGGAGAAATATGATTGATTTAGTTGACGAAAGTGCTATTAGTGGTCCAACCGACTGTTAGTGCATAGTGATGGCGGTGACGAAACACTTCAGATTACACTATTGTAAGTGAAAAGAGACCACCCATTGCACACACCAGCGTACAGAGTATGGGTAGGTCGCTTGTGTTCGCCCCAGGCAGTACAGATCTGGTGGCAGTTGTTACGTGCACGATTTTTCACTCAGAACTGTCACTGGTGTTATTGGTACGCAGGCAATTGCATTTCCATCGGCTCTTGATCAGGGGCTGAGGGCATGAGCAAGGGCGTCATGACTTCCGTGCTTTGGATAATGTCTTTTCTTAGGGATCTGTGAAATAAGCAATGCATTCCAAAGCAGGGCACTGGAATGAAGGTTCACACCTTGTTCCACTCGCCATTGCGTGCAGGGTGCAAGGGTTCTGTTCCGTTTAAAGGCCTTGTAAATGCAGCAATTTCAAGCAAAATTAGCTTTACTGCAGCAAGGCATTGAATTGATTGCAATGATTCCGTCGAACAGCAGAACCATTAGGACTGATTTTCCAGCCATCTGGTATTTGACCACAGTATTCCATCTAAAAGAGGTTGGGAGATTCCGATCCGAAAATGCGATTCATTGCATCGCAACAAGAACCTTAGTATCCGAACACGTTCGACATCGCGTTGCCATGGTTAACATTTTCTTTCCATTTTGGAAGAGAAGAACGTTATCCGTTGAGATGGATTACTGCAAAGCTGGTCTGCCGTGCAATGGGATTAAAGGCAGTAATAATTGGTCGCCGTTAGGGATACTATAATACAGCACAGCAATTGCAACTTCACAGCGACAATGGGACGCGATACTCACTGATGTATGACGAACAGGATAAGGTGAGGGTGTTCCTTACCCCTATCTCACACGAGTCAAGCTGAGGAACATTCGAAATTAGATTTGGAGCATTCTGAAACCATTGCATAGAAAAAAGATTGCGAAGTGCTATGCTTAATAAGTATTGTCAAAAAGTGACCGAAAACGTGAAGCAATCTATTCCAGCACGCGCTGACAATGAAAAACAAATTTATCTGAAGTTTACCAAACAAAAGTTGTAAAATGGCGAAAAGGATTTCTGTATTTTTAGTTTGATCAGCACCTAAGCAACAAAATTGCGAACTTCTCTATTCTCGCCATTCAAGGCAGTTGCAAACAACAAGGGACATTCGCAGTCGTTTCACAACAACACATACTGCCGCTTCACCCCACGCGACGAAAAATCCGATTTGCGCAAAGCTCCACAAACATCAGGCTCATCAAATGAAGGGCTGCAAGGCGTCGCGACCACTCGGCGGATCACGGCCCGCAACGCCCGTCCCCGCCCCTCACCATTTTTGCCCTTGGCTTCCATGAGCATGCCTTCGATGAGGACGTCCACCACCACGCCCTCGGCCGTCCCCCTCTTCTTCACCACTACTGTCTCCCCCTCCCCGGCCACCGCCACTGATTCCACCGACACCGGCACGCCCTCCGTGGCGTCGGCGTCGGCCACCGCCGTGGCGCTGCCACCCATGGTGGCGTCGGCAACTGAGACGGCGTTCGCGTCTGCTCCATCAGAGGAGTCGGCGGTGGCACTGGAGGTGGCGGAGCCGCAGCCGCTGGAGGAGGAGGAGGCGAAGGCGGTGCCGCCAGCGGAGGCGGAGGCGGAAGAGGAGGAGGAAGAAGAGGAGACCTGAGGGGGGAGGTAAGGAAACTGGGCGTCTGAATATGATCGGGTGAGTAAATGAAAATCCTTGCGGGCAACGCAAAAAAAATCGACACACTGGTCATGCCGCGTGTTTCTACTGAACTTCAGATGGTCAAACAGCGTCCCTCTGCTAGCGGTCTACAATGACCTCACAATAATTGGCGGAACCCCATCCCAACAGCATCAAGAATATAATCGGGTCAAAATCGACGTCTATTTAATCGGGCGTCCAATTCGGGCATCTATATTTAATCGGGTGTCTCAGCGACATGTGGTCTCTGGCTAGAGATCTCCAGAGCTCCCCATGGGGAGCGTGCGTTTGGTCGGGATGGCGCGATTTGATCAGGGAAGTATCTCCTGGGCGTTCCAGTAGGCGCCCTCGTGGTCTGCGCTTTTCTGGAAGGGGGGTTGGCGGGGGAGCTGTGTTGTCCGCATTGTGTGCCATATTACCAACAAAATCGTGCAGCCGCTTCCCTAGCAAGCCGGAAATGCCTCCTACCTGCTGTTGGCAGCTGCCACTGGATGATTTTCGCAAGATTGATCATGTCCAGCAATCGCAAGTACGTACTTGCGATTGTGTATCGTATATGTACTCCACAAAACAAGAATCGAAACAAACTTTTCTTTCCATTCACCATGCGGCACACGTTGCAGCACTTCAAAACGCCAGTGCTGCATTCAGGTACACTCTACATGAGAAAAGAACACGTGTTGAATCGTGCAGCTGAACGCCTGGCTTTTGCACTTGCGACAGCGCATTTTAAGATGATGCCGCTGCATCACAAGAAGCCCTTGGTTCTACAATTCTACAAGGTTTTTCCCCAAATACGCCTGTGCAGTAGCTCGTATTCCATGCAAGCAGCACAGAATTTGGTTGGTGTTGTATTCTCATTGCATCGCAGTGGGGGTAGCAAATTCCAGATTTCAATAACATTCCCGGTGGAGAAGTGCATCACTGGGAGGCAACCGTTGTGCATTGTCGGTGCACTGAAGGTCACTACTGCCACCTGCAACACTGCTCCTTTAGCACAAGTCATTCACATTCACAGGCTCATTCGCTCCTTTGCACATCATTCCTAATCAGCTGCTCTAGCCATAACCACTACACACCGGACGAGACCTGACATGCCACGAACACAAACTTGTGTTTTTAAGACAGGTGTGTGTTTAAGACAGTTTTTCAACACTGAATGTTCACAGCCGCTTACCTGTTTAAATTACAACAGCGATCCGCTCAAATTTTCAGTCTGAAAATTCCAAGTCTCATAAAATTGTATGAGAAGATGAGAATTTCCCTATGAAAACGATAAAACTTATGCGAAATCTTAAAATTTGAACACAGCACGAGTCAAAAATCATTCTTGCACTGTACTCCTTTAAGCAGCGCGCCCCGTACTCACCACTGAAGAGGAAGTGCTGGTGCAGTCCGCGGACGCAAGCCCACGGCCAGCAGCGGACAGCACGTCTGCACAACACACAAGGTTCACTCATGATGGCATATGCCGCAGCAGTGACTGATGAAGGATTGCACAATCCTCAGCGAGGACGCACGGTGAACATCAGCCCCGCCATTTTCTCGAAGGTCCGCGCGCGGGTCAGGTGCCCAGAATGAACCTCACTGCGGACAACCGACAGCCAGGGCAATCATCGGGTCAATGGGTGCGCCCGTCTCAGGCGCTCATGCATTGCGATCGCCGAATGTGCCTTCCGCTGCACCGATGGGCAAGAGCCACCAGTGCAGAAGCCCCAGCAATCGGCAACCGAGGTCTGCGGCCGCCACGTGCCGAATTTCACAACGAAGAACGGCGACTTGCCGTTGCCGCGTTCCCGGCGCGCATGTGCACGTCTGTGAGCAGGACTCGAACATCGCGCGATCGAATCCTCAGCAGCTCCAAGCCAATGCCTCTCAAGCCAGCCGGCGGTCGCCCCTGAGTTCAGGGCCTCGCAATTGGACAAGCCCCACTCACGGCGGCCGCCGAATCCCGGCTTGGATGCCCGTCAGCCGAGATCACCCCCAGGGACTAGGGCTCTGCCGTCGCGCCAATCGCGGCCATTTTCCGGCGCGAACCATCGCTCGACCGTCATGGAGCAACCTTGGGCGCGTCTTCTTTTCCAAGAAACCTGAGCCCCAGGGACTGCTGCGCGCCGCACGCGTGGGCCGGGGAACCCGCCGTGCCCTCACCTCTGCCGCCGGCGTCCGCGCCCGCGAGCAGCGCGAACAGAAGTGCTGCGGCGCAGGCAAGGCGCCGCGACCGCCGCTCCATCACCCTTCCTTGTCCCGATGAAGCGGGCGGGGAACGTGCTGGGCTTTTCGGAGTTTGTAGGGAGACGTGGGGACGCCGCCGCCCTGTGGACGCCAAAACAGCACGAGCGCAAGCCGATGCCGCGATGGATATGTGCCTGCGTGTGTACAGCTTGGTGTTGGCGGTCACATCGCCGCACGGCGAAGTTCCGCTCCCCGTCTGGCGAACAGCCTCCATGGCGATCTGCGCTCTTGGGCTGTAGTTAACGCCCAGGGGGTCGGACTGCTGTTCCATTTGAATTCGCGGACGCGGCGCATCGGACCATTCAAGGCGATGGGGTTGGCTGCCTGTCTCATTTCAGTCTCGTGCAAAGGTTGATTCCACATCGGCCTTGCCCCATGCCGGCACCGGAAGTGCTCCACGTGGATGAGGCGCAAGAGAACGTTTGAACGCCTTTTATTGCATTATGGTGCGCTTCTATCTGCCCTATATATACGTATATGTGTGCCACTTGGTCATTTTCGAATCGGCAAAAGACGTCCAGCACTTGCAAATGAACCCAAATCACAGAGCTTCGGCATGCATGCGAGTCGTAATAAACCTCTGAAAATCGTTGAGTGGTGATGTGCTGGGTGCCAAAGCAGCTCCAAATAGCATAATCATAGCTGCCTGCGGTTGCGTGGTAGTATATACCTGTCAGTTGCTCCAAAGGCCCTGCATTCGACCAGTCCATCAGCGGGTCACCCCGCATACACCCACCGCGCAGATGGACCGCACGGCACCATGTTACGTCCCGAGTCGGTGACTTTTGGTCACCGATCACAGGGAAGTAAGCACATCAACCTCAAAGGCTTCGCAGGTTCATCCCTTAAGTTTGTTCAGCGGTGCCCACAGTGCGAATCGTTTAGAAGCGTCTGCGTGGACAGCCGAGATTGGACATGGGCAGTGGGCGCAGAAAGCAGGGTCATTTTGGAATGGGAGACGTGGCGAGACGTCACATTGTTGCAACTAGAACTGATTGGGTATTACTAGTAACTGAGTGCATGAAAAGATGATGAAGCTCTAGGAATTGCTCTAGGAATTAAGGACGTTAATGAACGGACTGAATATAAAGGACAGAACGCCTGTTGTCCTTTTGCCTCGGCTGTAAACCGTTGCCGTGGACTCGAGCGTACAATTCCCGTTCAGGGATCGCCACCCCTCGATCCTGCCTGCCTTCGTCACAATTCGCGAAAACTCTTTTGAGTGGGTTAAAGCAATTGAATGTGCTGGATGACCATCGTTGTCAACATTTGCGCTGATTTTTGGGTGTGGTTGTGGCAGTGCAAATGTCATCCAAGTGACCTTTAAAGGGCATTATGTTTGGTGCCTGTTCCTACGGTACTCCGGAACTGAATACCATGTCGCTGCTGCTCTGCTGAAGATGTGATTGGGTGAGCTCCATGAGTGTAGCAGCTGCCGTTTTTTTTCCGTTCCAGCACCTTAATGATGAATACAAACTGCATGGGCCGCACTACTTTTCACACGAGGAATTGATGCACGCGTGCCCTTGACGCACTGGCACATCGGCCGAGCTCCTTCTATTCTGGTTCTAAGGTGGGTGGCATCCGTGGGCGTTCTTGCTTTCCCTAATGTTGCTGGGCGTTGGGCATGCTAAGTTTTGGGGGACAAATTGAGGCTCCTTGCGCTGGCCAGCAAATGTACACCTGTCCTACGTCCAATGCGGTTTGAAATTCATGGAATGCAAGAGACGCCAGAAACCGTTCAGCCGCAGACCAGCTTTCCGATACTGTTCAGTTGCCGCCTCATTCTTGGACAATTTACCGCATGTAATCCCCAGTAAACACGTCACATGGTCCATACATTTCAATAATTCCAGGGGCAACGATAACACTACATCAGTACATCACCCAGCACCACGGTGACGACTCCATGTGCAATAGAACGCATGTGAGTAGCCACATTGGGAGGCTCAACCGTTCTTGGCGTCCCCTTCACCCAGTCAATGCCCCCTCTTGTAAATTTGTGCCCCCAACGGGCACCAAAGCTTATCGAGTCTACGTCTGAAAGAATCGCAGTACGGTTCCTTGCTGCCACGTGTCCTGCGTGCTTGGGGTATAGCAATCGTGCCCAGAAACTTTGTTCCAATCCCATAAGCGCAGACCAGGCCCATTCATAACATTGGCATGCAGGTGCCCCATGCCAACCCACATCAACAAATCTCGCCCAACCCTGCTTTTGACGATACCATCCAACAACCTGACTATACACTCCAGCATAGTGCGCATGGCAGTTTGAACGAGCTTACTGCAAACTGTACGTCAAGCACCACAGCATCCCGCTACACAACGTCCCAGACATCCCACGGCGTGTCTGTGACTCAACCGTGGAAGTCGAGTGGCAGTCATAACATGCTCTTTGCTGCCCTTGCAGGATTGGTGGAGACTCCCGGCGAGTGAAGGGGAGCAGCCCGTCGGTGACCGCTGCAACAATTCATCAGCAATCTTGACCGCCACTGACCAGACACGAGTGCTGGCTGCCCTGCTTCCCTCCAGGTCGGCCGCTGCTCCACTCAGGTTCTTATCATCGCTAGAAATTGGCAGCGAGCTCATCGTCTCTTTCCTCTGCAGACGAAAGGACGCATGTCAAAATCGACGACCAGCTGTTCTCAGGCCATGTTCGTGCAATCGATTCGGCTTAGAGCGAGCACAGCAAAGCTCAGCAAGGCAGGCCACTGGGATGCCGTGCAACGATCGGGTGGCTAGGCCACGTGGAAACACCGGGGCAAAACAACTCGAACACAACACCCTCTTCCCAAACAGGTCTGTTTTCAGCACAGCCCGATGTCAGCAACGCGATGCCGTTCCATGTACGGCATTTACCGTGGTAGAGATCATCGATTTGCTGATGGACCCACTGGGGCGTGCGGTAGCTGTCCAGCCACAGACCCTCCTTCGTTTCCTTGTGCACGAAGTCAGGTGCCTTTGGGTTCCTCTTCGTGGTACGATTGTCGTAGTAGCTGCGCGGAGACCTGCGAGCACAGCAGCGGACATTGAAACTATGGCACCTGTGAGAGTGCCCAAAACGAATCCCTGGTCTGCAGCGTTGGACTCCATGTGCATATCACGCCAGTGATGCAGTCAGCGTGCTCAGCAGGTCTGGCAAATGGTGGTGGCAGTCACCGCACCAAAAGAACTTCTGGAAGCAATGTAAACAAAGAAACAAACCAAACAATTGAAAGACGAACTGCCGTATCCAGTCAAATAAAAAAAGTGTTGCAGATAAAATGCCTTTCTGGCACAGTGGGTGCAACAAAGTGCAATGAAGTGCTAACTCTTGTGCACACTTAAGTGGCGAGCTTGCCACCTAACGTGTTAGTGTTTGAAATTCGAATGGGTGGACAGGAGCAAACTGGCTTGGTTGGGACTGTAGCTTCATTAATTGTGGCTGGTGAAGACCTTTAGGCAGAAGGTCGCCATTCTTTGATCAAGACAAAGACAGCCTATTATGTCCCTGACACTGACTGGGAACTTCAGGATCACAACACATTTCGCACACAAAAGGTAAGGAAAATCAACCAGCCCAAGATTTTTAACACCAGAGCAGCAATTTCAACAAACATGAGGGTGCACGTGGACACAAAAGCGACCACATTACAAAGTCACCCGCATTTCCAACCTAGCATTTCCAAGCCCTGGTTCAACAGCGACTCGAAACTGCGAGCTTCAGTCCTGCAGCGACCTGCATCTGCCAACAACAGGGACATATGGCAGCCCATCGGCATACCTAAATCAAAATGCACCACTACAAGGACACCAATTCGGCACACCTGTCAGCACCATAATTTGGTGAAGTCCAACTGTTCAGGTCACTATGCTGACTTAGGCTGACAACGTTCAAATAATTGCATTTGGTGCTTCACCACAGACCTGAAGAGCTCGTCCCAAGGACTTGGTGATCTTGGTTCTGATGCTGGTTCTGACATTCGGCTGCTTCCTGAAGGTGGATATGTGTGCTGTGCTGGAGTCAACTGCTGGGCATTGAATTCTCTGCGAACAAGTTGGATGCTACTTGCAACCACCTGCAAAAAGACAAGGCAGGCAATCTGGGAAGGTGTCCATTGGCTTCTCAGTCCGTCAGTTTGGATCATGGAGCAATGTCACAATGCAGCACATGGTGGCAGTCTGCATTCTGCATGCCAACTAGTGACATGCTCCAGTTTTGGCCCCAGACCCAGACAAAGCACACATCGACCAACTTTGGCATGACAGAACAATATCCCAGATGCATGCCACCTGTGAACCAACATCTGCACCCTTGAAAGATTTGTTCGTACTCGATTGTTCTGTTGCTCACAAATGGCATTCTGCATGTCTTCGAGAACTTCAACATCATCTGCTCAGCGACATCGCCACTGTGCCCCTGTGTAAAGGCAGAGAGCAGTGCATGGCAGTTTGCCACACAGAATAACAATATCAGAAACAACAAACAATCACCTAGCTCCAGCTTGGCAACGAAAGACAAGAACCCAGAATGTGGACGTCGGTATGGATCTGTTCTGCCCACTCACCACTGTTTTCGATCGCTTGGCCCCAGTTTGCCTGTCTTGCCATGATGACTGCTCAAGGCGGCCAGAGACTGCGATTTTCTGGCCCTTCCTGACCTGTTGATACATGCGCTCAGCCAAAGGGCCCCAACACTCGATATCAAACCTGGACACAAGAGAACAGATTATCGAACTTTCCTTGTCTCATATTCCAGCAAGGTACTTGCATTAGTTGGTCTTTTTGACTGAACAGGTAACCAATCGTGAAGCAAAGGTGCATAAAATACAAACAGGACACCAAAAGGAAATGCATCATACTTGCACAGCTCTCGATGCCCTCCAAAAGCTTTGTTGTGTATCATGTACAGTTTGCACACCCTTGAAATTATCAGAACTTTTGCAGAATTCATGCAACATAAAGGAAATGAAGAGACACAAATTTCTGATAGAATTCGCTTCATCGAGGCCAGCGAGCCCTTTAGCGAATAGAGTGCCCTTCCCTTCCCTTCCCTTCCCTTCCCTTCCCTTCCCTTCCCTTCCCTTGGCATGCAGACAATTTTCTTTTTTGTTGCGCGGGGGAGCTTTTGGGAATCGAAGTCAGCTGCGACCGCCATTAGGGGCGTGTTTACAATGTGAGTGGGCCTGGACGTGCCTTTCATACAATAGTTTACATACGCTACATTGATCGATCCCGTGACGTCATGTCGATGCATCCATGTAAGGAAGAAACATGCACTCAAACAAACACAGAATTCTGCACACTGTTCCGCATAGTGAAGATAACCAGCGATTGGCGAACAGACGCACATTTATGCACATTGGAGACATTGTGCCAATGCTGTTTGCCAGAGGCAAGGACACTGTTCTGTCTTGAAAATCGATTTTGAACAAAAATTCTCACAAACATATGAAAGAAAATATATAATAGAATACAATCTGCAATAATACATCCCATCGATAGTATACACTACCTCTGTTCCAACAGTCGTGTCCGATCCCCAACTCTTGATGTAACTTTGCTAGACCAACCCAATCAGTCAATCTGTCAGCAGATTCGAATTCCTTGGTTGATTCTAGGATGGTATGGATATTGATTACATGTCATCGTCATAGAACCCAACGTTCGCAGCCTAATCAAAAAGGCCCCTATCCATTTCCTTGCAGGGCTTCAATTGCCTGCATTGTTGCATTGGCCTTATTCCAGTATGTCCCAACCTGTTTCCCCAAATTCATGAAGAACTTTATTGGAAACAACAAATAGGCACTATTACACACTTTCAAGAATTTCGATACCATTGCTATCATCCATTTTGCAGAATCATGTTTTCATGTTTTCTTGTCTTTTTCACCCATTGGCCATGTTTGCATCAATTTAGGCCGTCCTTTGGTTGGCGTCAGTATGTATGGCTTTCCAAACCTTGTCACGTCTACTAGCTACATGCTCTTGCACCGATCGGGGTGTCTCATAGCCTTTGGCACAACCTTCACGCAGTTCTTGTTGACACCTCAAATGCTGTATTGAGCGTCAATCCCTTTACTCATGGATTCTGTTTCCGTGAGCCTCATCGTCAAGGCTGATCATACCACCAACGCATAGCTCCCCCCTGGTGCTGGCTCAGCTCGATCCACCCCCTTTGAAGGGCAAGAGAAGCTCGCCATACCCCAGCCCAGGTCCCGACAAAATGACAAGCTGCGTTTGAGCTCCTCTTTACATATTGTAAGAATGGCCCTGCCGTTTGCCACGTTCGAGGGCTATACAGATAGATCTTGATCTGGCACATCGAAGTTGTTTTCGTCAATTTTCCTGACTCGCGCGTTTTGACCTCCATTGGGGCAGATTTGCTTTTCGACACGACTCTTGGAACAAAGGTACTATCTATTAAATACAATCAAAGATCTCAAGTTTTGGAATTCAGCAATTTGATCCTCGTGACCTGAAAATTGAGATTGCAACAGTTCAAAGTTAAGCTTTGAACATTGCTCAAGGTCCAACAAAGCAGATTGGCTCTGCTTTGGATCGTTGAAAGGACACTTGCAATCGTGGGTTGACCCAGAAAGAGATGCTGTTGCCATGCCTGCTCTGCTCCACCCTCCCATTGATATCACTGTCCCACTGATGCACAGATGTTGGTGAGGCTATACCAGTGCGTCTTGTCCTTTGCTCCATTCACAGCAAGAGGCACCTCTCCCTTGATGTACCCGCTGTTGAAGTTGAGGAGGTTGACGTCCCTCCCAGTGTTCCCGATCAGGTGCACAACATTGACCATCGCCGCATCCCAGTCACACTGGCAGACATTCAGCCAGCAAAAAGTTTGACAAAAGGTGGGCAGGACGCCACTTCAAATGCATGTCAGTTGTTTACATACAACCATTATGAATGTACACGTGTCCAAGTACGATCCGGCAGCACCTTTCTCTTTTTCTCATTTTCCAAGTATTATAGCATGTTGAAAAAAGATTCTGTGCTGCCTCGATCCCAGCAGAAAAGGAAACAAGACACATGCCTTGCTGTGCGGTCAGCATCTGCAACTGAAAGTAGCAATTGAATTCATATTTAGGTGCACACAAAGACAGCAGCACAATTTCAATGCCATGTGCCATTCCACATGCCCCTGGCCACAGCTACACCATCTTTTATTGAATGGTAAAGAGTCAGACACTTAGTCTTTAGAAGGGCATATTGAAATGCATCACATTGTAGCTGTGAACAGTAGCAAACCTTGTGAAGCCCCCCTCACCCCCCCTTTTCCCAAGTTGCAGGTGTAAGCTGGACACTACCCAACATGTGCAAGAGCGATGATTTGCTAGGGTTTGAGAGCTGCATTCATTGCAGAGCTGCATTCATTGCCGATCTGCTGATAAAAGAGCTCTGTGAAACCACACGCACGATGCCAGGACAATGGCCTGTGAGCAGCACCATCAACGGCTCCCATGGCAGTTGTCGAGGGCATCCCGTTCTAGATAGGCAGACACTTGAAGAAGTGTGGGGACAATTTCATTCTTTCGATTCCAGAACATTACACCGCATTTCAGTGTCCAGCTGCCTCCCCCGTCCTATTGCAAGATATGTAGGCCTTGTGCCAGCTAGTAGGAGAGGCAAGGCGATTTGAAGCCCCAGAAGTTGTCAGAATCCAAAGGAATGCTCAGTATCAAGAAAGAGAGAAGGGAAGTTCAGCACACTGGACAGATCAGCTATCCAAACAAATCGAGTTTGTCTCTATGTTTGTTCTAATGAACCGAGGCAAAGAAGTGTGGGAGTTGAATCCCAACAAGATGTAGAGCTCCTTTGCCCAGCTTTTTGCTCAAGCAATGTTCATGGTGCTCTTGAACACAGGAGTTCCCTCAAGCTGTTTGGGGCACTGCAGCTCGCCAAATCGAGTCCTCACTTCAGAGCCCCACGCTCACAAGCCCCTGTCCAAAATCATCTGAGGCCCGGGCGCTGGAAAGGATGATGCCCAATTCATTCATTCATTGTTTCCTATTCAATTGCTTGCACCAAGTACGTTCTCGCTTTACCATGCTGGCCATCGCTCCAATGCGCAAGGGCACTGTCTTGTCATGCTTAGGCCATGTGCAACTGAAAGGCACACGGAGACGACAGGGTCACCAGTGCGTTGGAAGGCGGCGCGACACCGCTCTGCGTCCACGGACCTGCCGTCTGCTGCATTTTGGCCATCACAATAAGTGCAAAAGACCCCATTCCGTGCATCGCACCTCCCCAATGGCCTCCGTGGAGCCGTTTGGAGGCGGCATCTCGTCCACCCTGACTCCCCATCTCGACCTCCCGCTGTCATCATCAGCGATGTCGTGAGCGAACTGGCGCTCATCCTGGCTGGGGCCTTCCGAACGGCCCCGCATCGCATGTAGTGGTCGCGCGAGGCACGGACCGGCGCGCGATCGCAGGCACCGCCCCGCGACGACGGCGCCCAATGAAGGCGTCACAAACTGGGAGAGTTTCATGAGCGCCGACATGGGGCAAGGCGCGTCCAGTTCCCTGGGCACTGGAGGTTTTGCCGCCCTTACAGGCAGGCCTGGGTGCGACCTATACCCCCCCGGGCAGATCGTTCTGTACGGAAACGCACGTCGATTTGGAGTTACCAGGCTCTTTACGGCGCAGTTTGTCAGACGGGGTGTGTGGCTCAGGCGCGGATATTTTTCGGGATGAAGAACTCCAGCATCGCGACCATGCTGGTTGAGTCCCTTGTTGAAGCATCAACCTGGTGCATGGCGCCGCATCGGAAGTGTTCATGCTGGGACGACCAGGCACGAATACGGCGACGGAGATGGTCACGTAAGTACGGTGGACTGTCACACCAATCCAGAATTCCTGCAGGTTCCCAATTCCATGCCACCCAACTTTATGCCCCGAATTCTCATCCGCACTTTAAGCTCGTTGTTGTGCCGTTCACAGCCGTAGAAGAATCAGGCAGCTTGCTACCGTGATGCTGGTAATAGAAGCCCCTCTATTTCAATACGAAGAACTCATTGACAAAGAATCCTTGTGTCCTTTCACCAAACCCAACGACTGCTGTATGCTCTTTGTTGACAGTCACATGCCTATTAGTGGATAGTGTCGTAACGAAACTACCAAAACAGTATCAAATTGCCTATGCCAATAACGTACTACCAAGTTTACTCACACGGCGGCTGTGCTTAAACAGCAACAACAGCAACAACAACAATTCAGAAGTCAAGCCGTCGATCACAGTGACACGGGAAAGACGTATGTTTCTTAGAACTTTTATTGGAGTGAAGGATCCGTCCGACTTCCGAGGATGCATCGTTCATGGGGCGCGTGTGTGGTACGTCATCATTAAAATCCATGGACTACATTTGTCACAAAATGACAAAACACAGCCCGTGCACCTGGTAGGCGATGATGGGCGTGTGCGGTACGCGTTCACAAAAAGGGACCTGGTTTGGCAGAGCTGGAACCAAATTCCGTGGTCAACATGACAGGTGACTGGGTTCGACAAAGCAGCCGTCGAACTTGGAGTCCGCACAACACGCAGAGTCCAACTGGATGCTAGCAGGACTTCCTGTTTGTATTGGAGGCACCGGGTATGAGACACACGGCCATAAATCGTTGCCCATTGGGCAACGTGGCAAGTTGTTAGGCCACACAGGCTAGCAACAATATGGAGCGCACCTCAATTAGGTTTGGTCACCTCCTTCGTGTGATTCCTGCAAGTGACATTTTTATTACAATGTCATTGTTCGCATCTTAAGAAGACCCAACATCAGCAAAATTCCAGGCCTCAAAATCCAGTTCTTCAATCACCAAAAAAGCCAATGACATCATCCCTTCACGATGACAATCAACCAACTGCAGAATTGCCACCAGCTGTGCACCAAGCCACAGCATCCTCACATGCTCACAAGCCCAAATTACAAGTGCGCCAACTTGCCAAACCGTTTGTCCCTCGCATGACAGAATTCCCGATGTTTTGACAACCAAAATCCAGCACCAGAACGAGTCGACGGAGACATTATCGGCACCTCGAAAACCAATCACATCAGCATGAAACTTGTTGTTCATCATTACCTTCATGTGCTGTGTGCTATAGTCTGACTATGGACCATGCTATGAAGAAGGTAATGATGAAGTCTATAGCCAGACTGTAGCACACAGCACATGTACACGAACAGAACGCTCCAGTAACTGCACAGAGCCAGAAGGAAAATGCTTGCACCAAATCAAGCAGGAAGCCACCCAATCAAGTCGGTTACTGCGTCCAACAGCCCAATTAGCGGAAGGCAGGCACATACTACACAGTGCGCTGAGAAAACATAATGTATGTTGAATGTATGTTGAACAATCATTGTTGAGTCGCTCAACAATAATTGTTGAAAAAGTCAGGTCTGTGTCGCGTGCGAAGTGTCGTTCACTCATCGCAGTCAGACCTCGACTCGCAAGTCCAACATCCAAAGACAGCGCGCTGTGCGGACTTAAGCTTGTTGGCCCGATATTTGGCTTGGTGCGTGGCGCGAGATGAACTGTGAAAAGGGTATGGCGAATCAGAAGTTTCGTAATGGCTGGTGCATAGTGTGGCCTTGACATACTGACATGATTTTGTGCTCATTTCTAACTTCGTTTCCTGACTCCTTCCCTCCATACTATTTTAGATTTTGCTTGTAAGATTGTTGTGGTACTTGGCAGAACCAGCTTGGCGGCCCAGTGCTGGTGACCGGAACATCTGTGCGAATCCCAGGAAGCACTATGCGTCCAAGAAATGGAAGGATTGCCTGGGAGCACGAGCACAAGAAAACCAACCTTGTGGAACGCGGGAATTGATTGTCTCCATGTTCTTGTGACGAGCATATGGACAACAAAACCAACAGAGCGGGAAGCCAACCCGCCAACAGATAGCACCCCAGGCTGACCGAAAAGAGTTGCTTACAACTCAGCCCCAAACGACGTTCCAAGTCATCGCCGTGGTCAGGGACCCCCCTCCGATACGTAGCACCAGAATCGGCCGTACGCTGAGGCCACCCCTCAAGACCACCACTCATTCGCCCGACTGCCTCAATTCCAGGAGGCCACCCCACCCCACATCCTCCGCCCCTGCTCCACCCAGCTCCTCGGATCGGTCCCCCTGCCCACGCCCCGCGCCACACACACACCCGGACGGTCTCCTGCCGCCAGCCGCACTGCCTGCGCACAGCGGTGCCCCTCGTCGACAGAGATCTTCGACAGGTGCGGGCGGGCATTTGCCCCGTTGTGCTGTCGGCCTCGCGCTCGCCAACCTATCCGACGGGCCATGTTTGCTGTCTTTGCCTCGCACACGAGGACGACGCCCTGGCGGTTCTCGAAACCCGAATCAGGATTGCGGCCGTCGTCGCGGCGACTTGATCTGGCGGACCGTTCGCCTTCCCAGCCTGTTTCTGGTCACTTGTCTTGCCACGTCTCGCGCCCGGCCTGTGACCTCCGCACTCGTTTGCCAGTGCTTGGCTGCGCCGAGCAGGCCCCAAACCCCAGCATGTTGGCTGGATTCCTGCTGACGTATAGACGCCTGCAGGTAGAGACCTATTCCCTGGAAGTTGCGCCGCGGCGCGCATCGATCGGGGTATTGATTGCCGGCAATCGCACAATCTGTCCACCAGGGCGTTGGCGCTGTTCACAAGGCTCGCGACATCTCCAGCGTTAATTTATAAGGTCGGCCGTGGAAAGTGCCAGTTGCGCAGTCGGGTGGCCGGCGACAATCAAGACTTCAGATCCGCTGCTGGTGGAGCACAGGAATGCAGGGCCACCGCACTGTGGGTCTGAGCGTCTGATGCTCTCTGTCCGCTGCAGAACAAAGATGATGGCCGGCCGCATCTCCCACTCCCACAACACTCCCGCTGGAGTCGTGGGCCTGGGCCACAGACTGCTCCCAGCCGCGCCCGTCGGCTTGCGCCGCACGCACAAGCTGTCGCTGTGCAGGGTCGCCGGGAAGGAGGTCGAGAGTAAGCCGGTGGCCGTGGAGTACCCGCACGAGGACGCCAACGGCAACGGCGGCTTTTTTCCGACCCGCGATCCGGGTAGCTTTCCGAATGTTGGTGAGACTGCAGCCCTCGTGTATTCATTCTCTGTTACGCCCCTTCCGTTGCAAGCTGTCCAGTTGGTCATTTGCTATCTTTTGGGCTAACTATCCTGTATGCGACATGCACAGTGGCGCGTGCCCTTGCGCCTATGTGTTCTGTGCTGTGTCGTAGCGATCTGTGCGAGCATTGCCTCGCAGTGGACTGTGCCAAGAATCTCTGGAGACCAGTCTGCCCAGCCCCACGTCCTTGTTTGCAGAGTTGCTGCTGCCCCCAGTGCTCACCCCTTCAACGCGATCTGAATTGGATTTGCTCTTCCTAACAGAGGTGGCTAAGCCTTCTGAGGAAGTGCCAGAAGAGGACGAGTACGATCCACTGCGTGATGGCCCCCTTCGGTACCTGGGATATGCCAACGAGTGTGGGTGAGTGCACACCTTGTTTTCAAGGCGTTTCAGTGACTTCAGGTTGTCTTGTGGCTGTTTCAGCGGTGTGGGTAGCATGTTATCAAGCTCAGCTGTGTGTGACCACAGTGCGAAGCGTTGGGGTCATGCTGTGAACGAAGTCAACAGGAATGTACAGAGCAAGTGAACGCCCCAAGTTTGGTAGTGTTGGCAATAGTTTGTTGTTGTAAATGGCAGTCTGCCATGCAAGTTGTTGACATTGTCAGGTCAAAGCACAGTCACATGGCCATCCTGACATTCCAGCATCACAAAAGGAAAAGGAGCGTGCAGCATTTCTGTGTTGAGAATCTTGGCTTGGTTTGACAGGGAGGCCTTTGCTGCTTGGCTTCCTCCCTTTGGTGTCCCTTTGTCCTATGCGATCGCAATCGGCTATGTGTTCACCGACACTGGAGACAAGTTCTTCAAGGCCTTAAAGAAAGCTGAGAAGGAACTGGGCAATGCACAGGACAACGATGTGGATGTTGGGAAGTAAGTGTGCCCTTTGCCGCTCTTCATGCACTTGAATTTACCAGCTTATCTTCTGGTGTGTTGGAGAGAATGACCTTCGAATGCCATCGGCCAACAATGAACACTGCTGGACAAAATGTTGAGGAGGCAGTCATTGTGCCTGACTGCACCCAGTGGGTGTCTCAGCACCATGGTTAAATGTTGCTTTAAAAGGTAGCTTACACACCCTCATTTTCTGACCGTGTGTTCGCGCACCAGGTTGACCAAGTTGCTTGCAGGGGAGAGAGCTTTGGACACTGTGGTGTGGCAGCTGCTTGCGTCTGTTGCCATTCCAGGTGGGATATTGGATCGGCAATAGCCCGGTGCCCCTGTGCCAGTGTCACAGCCAGGGGCACATCCGGCTGAGCGATTGTCAGGACAGTAACTTATTTTTGAAATGGATAGCGTCAGTCAGCAAACCCATACCCCTGGTAAGACAAGTTTCAAGTTGCATAACATTCCTATCATGGCTGCTAGGTTTCACCTCAGTGCTGTCATTGATCCCTGACCTTATGTCCTTGGAGACTGTTTGCTGCACGTGGCAGTGTGGTAGCCTGGACCTCACTTTGGCATGTTCCTCTGGTGCCCTGCTGAATCAAGAATTGAACACATAGCTGGAATTCTGTGTTGCTCCAGGTGGAAAATTGAGTCAATTAAGGTTAATGTTAAGCAGTGGGGTATCAGTGCTGTTAGAACTGACATTGCCGGCTAGTGGCAGCTGCAAAGCCATGCCCTTGGCAGTTCGGACCTGCAGCCTCTCACAATGATGCCATTGATGGTGTTGTGTCGATGATTGTGTTGACATGGCATTGAGTCCCTCACTCTGACTTACCTATAGGCAAACGCGTAATCAATTTATCATCCAACAAGTGATATAGTGGACGAATTTTTCTGTGTTGTCACAGGGGCCACCATCCATGTGATTGTTGCTATCACACATGCACTCCTGATTTCAGGACTGCACCTGGATACCCCGGATGTAAGTGCTGCCTTCCTTCTGTTGTGGCCATTGCACTAATGTGTTTGTCATCAGGAACAATAGCATGGTTGAGTGCTGGTTACAATAGTCGTTGTCGTCTTTAGGAAGTGAGCTGAAATGCCGTTACCATGGTTAGACAAAGGTGACGATGCTACACAGCTGATACCCTTGATGATGGCAAGGCTTCCATGCACTTCAATGCACTATGCTCTCCTCAGAGCTGGACTTGCAACCTGCCTGGGAATTCTTGCCATAGCCAGTAATTGCTGATGAGAACAACGCCAGAGAGCAGTACGCCTATGTCCTATACTTGCAGACCTTAACTTTGTTTTCAGACTAGCATGTCATCAGCAAAGAGGGTTTGCCACAGTCACCAGGTTGTGTATGAAGACATGTGGTGACTTGGCTACAATGTGTTTTGCAGGATGTTTTGCCCGCGGCCGCTGCCTTCTTTGCCACTGTGGCTGCAACGCTGAGTGTGCCAGTGGACACTGTTTCCACAATTGTTGAAAAGAGTGTTCCCACTTTCTGTGGACTGGCTGGTACGTATTAGTGGACCATCCAAAGCTCCCTGAATAGTGTTGGCCAAAACACAGTTGAAGATGCGCGATTCTTTGGCACCTTAGCATGGTCATTGTATGGGCAAAGGTGTGAATAGACATATTATGCAAGCGACGAGCACTGCATTATTGGCACAAGCAGTTTCGATGAATGCAAAACTATTGATAACATGTGCATGAATCGTGTGTTGTGGGTGTCAGTTAATATCTGGCACTCCCTGCCGCGTCCAAACTGCTACATGTCATGAAATATGATCGGGCAGTTGTGGTATTGACAGAATATATAGGTAGCATATGTACTTTGGTGGATGCTATGCTTGACACTGTACCATGTATGCAGCAGTTTACTCACAACGTACTCACAGGCACTCATCCATAGCCCGATTTTGTGGATCGCAAGAAACACTTCTGTATGTTCATCACAGTCATCACAATGGGCAAAGTGAATATTTAAATCACAGCCGTCAGATTCGAGACTGGAATGTGCCTATGGTGCGTTAGTTGATGTTGAAATTGACTTGATTTGGCTTTACTGCTGCTCACTGGGCCCACTCCAAAGGGCCCACTCCACTGGGCTCCGCTCACCTGGAGCTGAATCAACTCTGTTTTCTTGTTGCCCTCCAGCCATCCCGTTCATTGTGCACCCCATTGACGAGACAGTGCACGCGATCCTCAACGTGAGCATGCGGCCATTCGCTCGGCAGTTCCTTTGCCAGCAGGGCGGCAGCGCTGCCGGCCTGAAGATGTGTGAGTGCAGCAAGATGGAGGAGGATTTCCCCATCCTTGAGGAGAACACCTCCCTCGTCGAGGCCTTCAGGGCATCGTTCGACGAAGCGAACAAAGATCACTGATGCTGTGGGACTGGAGATGCCGGGAGGTGAGGTTGCCATGGTTGAAAATACGACCAGAATATGCAGCAGGGATTGCCGGCTTGCAGCCCAAGTTCTAAATGCATCATTGATGCACAGCTACAGCCGTACGCTCTGCCAATCCAACGCGATTCTTGAGTGTTTTGTTGCTTGAAGTATTCAATAATCATATTCGGTATGGTTCAGACAAGGGCAGAAACAGTGAAATGCCCTAAGGTTTTGGCGGCGTGCAGCCATGATTCAGAAGTCGATGTTGGCGGCGACGCATCTGCTTGAAGCGTCCTGACGTTTTCGTTTTTGACAGAAAGGGGCGCATGTCGCACAACCGGCATCTGTGGCCAAGAATTAGTATGAAACTTTGCCGTACAATAGGAGATGCAATCAGGGGCTCTGTGCACGTCAGGAATGGCATGGGGCACAGAATAGCACATATTCTTTCCACAACGCTGGTGTGGCTTATGTACAACTACGAATGACTGCAGCTGAACTGCATTGCTAGGCGAACGGATCACTATCTTCGCAAAATTGGTTCAAACAGGATGAGCGAGGAATCGGATGAAGTACAGCACAAATGGTTCGCTGACCTGAACAGACGCTGACCATGACTGTGCTCTTGACAGGTGCGGCGCTGACGCTGCTGGAAAGGTGTGAGAGTACTTTGCGTGGAAGCGGTAGTGTGAAGACATGTGTGGACGCCACAGAATTAGTTGAGAGCATGGCTCCCGATCAGGCGGAATTGAGCCAGTGACCCTGGGATTGGTTGGTGTATCAGTAGCTGCCAGGCCACGCTGTGCGTGCTTGCGCACACATTGGGCCAAGGCGAGATCCCGCGAGTGGGGGATGGGGATTGGGGGCTGTGTAATGAATTCATTATTCAATTCAATGGCCCGCGGTGGCCTCCTCTGGAATTGGGGCTGCATTGTTTTGCGACGGTTGTGAGCGGGGAAGTTCAGAAGGGGCATTTTTTGGGGAGGTCTGAGCGTGGACTGGGCGGGGCGCCACAGCCAGGCTATCGGTGACTGGCGCGCGGTTCAGAGCCTGGCAGGGAGACAATCCACTAGAGGTGTGCCGTTGAGGTTGGAACACCCCCTTGAGTTTTGTATCAGACGTGTGATCGATCGCATTGGCCGTTTTCGATGGCCCTGGAGACATCCTGGCATAACGTCGGCTGCGGCAGCATGATGCTTTCTCAATTGCTCGCCGTTTGTCGCTCTAACTCATAGTTGGCACATGGCTGGCAAGTGGTGATTGACTGGGTGACACAACATCATGGACCAGTCAGAAATACGACATGGGCAGTCGCTCAGCGTTCCTGACAGCGAAGCCACGCTGATGAATCAGCAACGAGACTGAGCATGTGATAGGCCAGCCGCCAATTAATTGAGGCATTGTGGTTGACGGTGCCCTTAATGTACCAGTCCATTCAGCGGGAGCGGGTAAAGCCCAGCTGCCCCTCTTCTTGCATCGCGTGACGAATGTTCGTCAACCCTTAATGGTACACAGCCAGAGGAACCAAGACACACGGGACTTACTCAGGAGTGGCGGTAACACCCTAACTCTTGCGGAGAGCAATTATTGTTGCACGACGCCGCAATCCCTGGACAAGGTCAAGGCCAACGTTATGAGGAGGCGTGTCGCAAGGTGGTTCCTTGAAACGAAATCCTCCGCCGTTTGGCACAAGACCATGCAAATCTGGATGCGGTTGGCTTCCATGACCAGACCAATGGGAGGCCCGGCCAAACCATCTCCCATGCTTTGAGTCGCGTGGCTCCAAAAAGGCGCATGCACACCTGGACAGTTGGTTCCTTTCCCTTACACCAATATTCGCCAAGGACGTCCCAGAGATGCGCAACGCGTACAGCTGTATGGTCCAACGATTTGGCAACGTATGAACCACGTCCTCAACAGGCGAACACGGCAAACGGTGCAGCGCTCTGCAGAGCTGGGACGCAAGTTCGTAAAGGAGGAGCGGAATGGAGCAAAGGCGACCAGGCGTCCGCAGCGAATGGGGGCGTCGACCATTTCTACCCTGCGCACTCCATTCTCCACACTGCCACCCAAGTAGCCGCCTTCTAACCCACGTTTCCCTTGCTCTGACCGGTTCATCCAGCAGGACACTGCTTCCCAAATTGAAACATCTCCCACAGGGAAACTGCCTGTGATTCTTGTTCCAGCCAGCCAGCCAGCCAGCCAGCCACTAGTCAATCAATCAATGAAGAAATGTCAACATGAAATTCTCCTGGCTCAACACGCACCTCATCAGATAGCTGCACATCAAAGCGGATTCTGGGCCCACCACGCGTATCCATCAAACAGCCATGCAAACTTCAGCACCTGTAGGCTGGAGGAATGTGAATGCACCTCGCAGCACATTGGGATACACGAGCGGGATGAAAGGCACGACTTGTAATCATTCAGGTGCTTCCCTCCTGCCCGTGTAGTAGCGCCCCAGGTGATCATCTATGGATTCCTGAGGACTGTTTGGATTGATGTCACCATGCAGAGGGAAGTCCAACTGCAGTGCCCCCACCCTAGAAGCAACAAACACATCTGATCCCCATCCAGTGCTTGAATGATTCACAGCCATCGCAATCATGTGCAACAAAAGAGGATGGGAAAGTCCCACAAATTCTATTAAGGGCATTACTGACAAGAAGAGAGGGGGTTGCTGAATCTGGCAGCCAAAATTTATGCACTCTGGCGAGTGACAGCATTCAAGTTGGGGGTGTTCAGTTCAGCACCACAATTCACTAACCATTACGACATATACAGCCACCTTTCGCCAAACTCGCACAGCCACGTCCCAAGTGGCAACAGGAGCATCCAAGAGCAGCTGTGAACACAAATGCCACGTTTCGATAGAAATGGCTCATTTTGTTGTGAAACAGATATGGAGTGGAAAAAGGGCGTGTGAACAAATTACCATAGTATGTTCAACCCATTCGACTATTGAATTTCAGCGTTACGGCTTTTGCTCCGCATGTTTTCAAAGGATCACTATTTGGGGGGCTTCCACATCGTGGTCACAGCCGGAATGGCGACTTCGCTCAGTGCACATGGCCTCAAATGCCAATTTTCCGCCACAACGACCCATGCATCCGGGGCTGCTAGACGCCAGAGCGCTCAAGAGACACTCGCATCGCAGCAGGGGCTGCTCTGCATTTACTTGGCACTATTGCGTTTTTTATATTGCTCTGAATATAGAGGCCAAACGGTGCGTTACAATGCGGCTGGTTGTAATATAACCATGGAACGGTTGGCAGAGCAAATGGATTTCTACACCCATCCTGAAATGCATCTGGTTACGGCCCTGCTCCTGTGCATGGGAGCGACCAAGGTGTGGGAAGCGTTGTTCCTGTCATATCGCCATCATCAATCAGTTCATCGAATAGAAATGCGGATCAACAGTGTGGTATCAGCAGCACACAGCAGATACTGCACAATAATCCCCAGACTCCAAATTTGAATATCCAATCTCCTCACACTCTCCAGTCTTCCATATCATTCCATGGTTGTCAGCATTCAACATCCATACCACAGCACACAGAGTTGACCATTTTTGAGTTGACAATTTTCCAACTGCCAAAGGGGGTGTCGAGCGCTCTGGAACGTTCCCAATGCGATCTCGGTATGCTCAGGGCAGTCACATTTCATAGGCACGTTCTGGGCAAGCTCCGGCACCCTTTTAGCCGCCCCTTTTCATCAGTTTGGCAACGGGGCTGCTGCCCTCCAACTGCACTGTCTAGCATTATGAGCGCTCTCTGGTCAAACAGCATCCAAGTGAGTAAGAATCCCAAAGTACTGTTCAAAATAACGTCGCTGTCACAAACAGCCTGACTGTATTGAACTGCATGGCCTGCAGCAGCTGAGCCACTGAATCCCTGCACATTTACGCACCTCATGCAGGGGAATTCCTGGTCAATCGCTGCAATCAGCCTGCTGAACAGGAACCCGCTGCCCGATGGCGAGAAATGAAGCCCATCTTGCAGGAGTTCTGCATTCCACGCCGGCTGCGTCTGGAAGCTTGACCACAGGTTCAAAGAGGGGACACCCAATTCCTTTGACACAGTGACACATGCGTCTGCATATTGTCCAGACACTTCAAGCGAACGATCGGCAGCGGAGTTGTTGGCTGATGATGGACAGTTCTGCAGAACATGGAATGGAGGCAGCATCATTAGTCTCTTGCCTTGTGAGTTTTTCAAAAAAAGAGGAAATCGTTTCCAACAGGCTCAAACGCCTTATACTGCCATGCAGCACCATTTTGAGGCAGCAACTCTGAATGCAAGGGGTACTTCAGTGTTTGATCACTTGCCTGATGCAGCTGCCAATACCAGGCTTGCAGTCCAGTAGTCGGTCCACAGCTTGTCAGTAACTTTCCTTATACTACTTCTTACATTTTATGTCACCTGCCTTCACATGTTGAGTTTCAAATCTTCATGTGCAAGTGTTGCGTGTATCAAGTTGTAAGCCACTATCGAACACGCACAATCAGCATCCACAGAAATGTAAAGAACAAAGCAACATTTACACTACGTATGCTGGCATCTCCCCAGGATTCTTCGGAATTCGATAAAGGTATTCAACACAAGAGACACTGATACAGCTCCCGTGACCTGTGTCTGTATTGCACTTAACAACCTATCACCGGATCTGTCACCACCTCTTTCGAACATTCCCAACGCCATCTACTCAATACCTTGTGCAGGAACTTCATTCTGGATTCATTGCACACTGGTGGTGGAGTGATGAGCAGCGTGTTACCACAGCCAGCTGCTTTGACGCGATTAACCATCCTCTCAAGGTTCTTTTTGTACTCCTCCAATGGGACATGTTGACGGGCACTGCCACACATCCCAGGAAACAGCGGAATCAGTGCACGCGAAACCTGGGTAGAGCACTGCTGGTCCACATTTCTTCTCCCTGTTCAAGAAGATCGGAAGTGGGCTCGCGGAATCATTTCCTTTCGGTGAAGACCAGCCAACATCGCCTGACAGGTGAAAGGGCTGTGCCAATTTTCTTTCACAAATGGAGCCAGCACGGGGATCGATGCGTTTTTAGCCCTCACACGGCCAACTGTACCCCATTTAGGCATTGCACGTCAGGATCAAGGGAACCCTTTGCGTCGTTGCCAGGCCAGTGCCTCATGTTTCATGCACATGTTGATGTTGCCGAAATGTGTCCCCATGGCGACGCAAACTCGAGAATCGCAACAGAGACGGGATGATTCGCTGCAAGCCAAGGGCTTCAAGAGATTTGGGGGATAGCGAGAACAGGGCCACGCGGCAGGAGACACAATTTTACCCCCGATGTGCCTCCCCAATCGTACTGCGGCCCGGTAGGTAGCGCGGCGTCATTGGCGCCGAAGAAGATTGTCACCAATGCCGGCGGGTCCTCCGTCCCTATGGGGAAGACACGGTCCAGAAGGCATGCCGCCCAGCGGGTGTTGTAGCCGCTATAGCCTCGGTTGATCACGTCGGCCTTTGACCACAAGCCAACAGTCGTCACTATGACGTCGCTCGGGGCTCGCGCCTTGTGCGGCTGGACAAGATGCGAGGCAGCTTTTGGGTTTCAAGACCTAAAAGTTTCCGGTAAAGCCTTACCTGCCCGAAATAGGCTCCACGGGCCCTCCAAAACACAACAGAAGCGCGAAAAGTGATGCACACCACGCCTTTTTTGGGGGGGGGGCGCACCTTTCTTGCGTAGCGGTTGGCCAGCGCGGCCCCCCACCCGCCCGGCCCAAAGCTCTGCTGTGTTAAGCTGTCCCCGAACAAAACGATCCTGGGGCGCTGCATCGGAGAGACGGACGGCCGACTCCTTGCTCTCCAGATATCGAGATCGCGGCCTGGTTGCAGTGCCTGGCTGGAGGGGGGATGCGCTTGGGCTGGAGACGCAAGAACAGCGTGTGCGGACGGGGAGCCGCATCAGTCAGTGTTTTCTGCCGTCTACCGGCCGCTTTCCGTGCGACAGCCGGGTTGCAGCCGGGCACCAACCTCGGGAGGGCCTTGCGTTTTTCTTCGTCCAAAAAATTGATGCCGTTCGGAAGTCCGCTCCCACAAAGAGGGCCCAATATCCGGCGGAACGAGCCGGCCACCAATTCCCTCGCAGCCATGCACCCCTCCATCGAGCACACTTGGCCGGCCCTCTTGGGCGCCTCCCCGGCCGTGCGCCAGGCCCCGCCTGCAAGCGAGCGCCGCGAGAGCGACCTCTCCTGTCGGCTGCTCATCCCCAGCCCCTGCGCGCCACCCCAGGGGGCGGCCCCAACCCCGCCGAGCGCTTCCGCCGATGGGCATGCGCGTCGGCCACTCCCGAATGACGTTTTGGCTGTGCAAACCGTGGCCACCGCGAATGAGACGCCAGAAACTTCTGGCTTGGCCTCCCTCGTTAAATTGCGTGCAGTGCCGCCCTCAGGAGGGAGGTTGCGGCTGCTAGGACGAGGGCCGAGCGCGGAGATCCTCAGGCATGGGCGGGCGGACGGAGACGCGGTGGATGACGCACGGGAAGTTCACCTGTTGGGAAGGCGCTGGAATCGGGAGGCGGCACGGCAGCGAGGAGGATTGTGCGCTCCTCTGAAAGTTGATCCTGTTGCAGGCTGTGAGCCTGATTCTGGCGGGGCTGCCAACCCCATTGAGCTGCCAGGCGGGCGCGATTGCGAACGCCCGGAGCGGTTCACAATTCCGAACGTGAGGCCAGAGAAGAGCTCCCGTGCTGTGAAATTCTGGAATCAGAACGTTGGGCTTTCTACGGTCCTGGCCTCCCACTGCACTGCAGTGACGGCAGTGTATTGCGTGCCAGGTCTGGGAAGGGAAGACCTCGACGGACGATGCTGTAGGCGCCGGGCGCCACGGCTCCCACATGGCAGCCGCTTCTCTGGACGCCTGCGCGTCTATCTCGGACGTGCACTTCCTGCGGGACATAAGACGTAGCATCGGAATACCGTCCCGCAGGGGCGCTCCAATTCCACACTCCCATGCTCCCTGCTGTGGGGCGAATGCCCTTGCAAGGCGTCCCCGGTCTAGTGACACCGATGGCACCTATGACGACCATAGGTGCGGCAGTTGTGGTCTGGAGGAACGGCCTGAACTGAAGGATGCTGATGAATTGGCATCAGCTGTGGATGACGGCAGTCGCCATGTGCGTCACGGTCGCAACCGGTTCCTAACGGACCTCACGAATACTATTCAAGGCGTGTCAACGGGCGTGGTGGAGCAGCTCCAGAAACTGAGAAAGGCTGTTGAGGCCAGCCGTGCGGGCGGCACTGCCTATCAGGCCGAGGGTAAGCCAGAGCTTCGGATTAGAAGACTGCATCCTTTGGACTGTGCAAGGTCTACATACACAGCTGCAGTGGGGGAAAAAACCGTCACCCGACTTCAGAAACGGGCAAGGCGGAGCGGGCATGAGCCTGTCAGGTGCAGGCCTCTTCTCGTCGATGCTGTGCTTCGCAGTGCAGGTAGCACAGGCGGCAGGAGGGAAGCCGCTTCTCAGCATGATCCCAAGGTGTTGGCTTTAGATATTGAGGTATGGAAACTGCAGCCAGACACACAGTTGGTGCGAACTACAGAAGTTGAAAGTGTGTTGGAAACCAACCGGCAACCCTGTTGTTCTTGTCAAGACACATGAGCACAGCATGGGCAATCCCATTAGGGATAAATGGGATGCGAAGGCCACATCTTCCCTTGACGTGCCCTGTCCTCACACTGGCATCCTGAACCTTCAGGTCCAAACAGAGCATCAACAAGCTGCAGCACTGGCAGAAACATACTGTGCAGGGCGTACCTTGCAAGACAACGAGACTCCCCCAAGCATGGAAGAGATGGGCACAGTGACAACTGGACGAGAAACGCCGGTAACGCAAGCACCAGAAGATTCTGAAGCATCTGTTAAGGGCTATGAGAATGCAACAGAAGTGCTCGACATCAATCTGAATGATTGGGAGCTCGCCAAGCAATCTGTGCCCCCAAGCAGAGACAGCAGCACAGCATCAGGAGCAGTGTTGCTGCCATTAGCACTGACGGCACATTTGGATCCATTGCCATTGAGTTTTCTGCAGATGGTGGAGCAAGAAGCGCAACCACTCGCTTCAAAAGTAAGCCAACTTTTTACCAATGACTGTGCCCACCCCATTTTGCACTTTCCCCTCAACCTGCTTGAGTGCATTGGAAAAGATTGACAAGACAATATGCTCAAACGCCTACAGGGTGGCAACGGGTTGCAATACCATCTCAATGCTTGATTTCAAAAACGTTTGTGCCCTTGCCTCCGTTCAAGTGCATGGTAGGTGGTCGGCTGTCCCATCGGTGAACAATCATCTGCGGAAACGGTTGTCCCTGTTCATCTTGCTTCATGTGTGCGAACATCTATTTCATTTTGTCATTGTCAACCTTCGAGTTCTGGGCTCCTCAGTGTTTGTTTGGGCTTGGTTTCTGGGAAGTGAGCGGCTCTGTATCCCATACCCACTGAGCTGGTGGTTCCTTGGGCGAATCAGGATGGTCACCATGAACCAGGTACAGGCAGGGAATCTGGATCTGTTGGTCCAAAGTCGGAGCATCAGCCTCCTTCGGCGCCACCAGAGCCTCAGGTTGTGCGTGCCACCGAATCAAAAGATTTAAACAACACCCGAGTCCCCACCGAAGAAAGAGGCCAATGGAATGGTGGTGAAGAAGCCCTGGAAATCGCTGAAATGCAACTGGCGAAGGCATCTCCGCAACAGGACACCCGCCAGCGCGCTGAAGACTTGACGATTACTGACCAAATCACAATCCAGCAGTCCAGCTGTGCCGATGGAGTTGAAATGCTGGACGAACGTGGGGTTGAAGGTATGGACTGCCTTCTCAAACAGGTTGGCATTGGCGATAATCATGTCGAATTGTCACATGATTGCAAGGCCAGTGTTGAGGACAGGGCTCGGGTCACCTCGAATCCAATTCGCCCAGACACAGCTTTGGAGAAGATCGCCGCTGTTAGCAGAGAAGCCCAACAGCCGCAGGATGGCTTTGATGTCAAACCTGACGAGTGGGATGCCAGCAAGTTTGACCCATCTGGGTGCCATGATGGTGTCGCACGTGCAGCATCACATATAGCAACTGAAAGATGCCACCACGGCAGAGAAGCGGTGGGCGATGCCGCAGATGCCGATGGTTCCTGCGGAAACGCGCCGAGCGCCCTTGGCAACGGTGGGCTCTTTGCATCGGGCTGCAAAGGCTTCCAGGACGTATCAGACATTCACCCAGACACGGCCAAGGAGCTGGCCAATCTCATATTGCAGGCAGTGGCTCTGGACAAATGCCAGGCTCAAAATTCACAAGGTAGACAACACAGTGGCCAGCAGCATCCCCAAAGGGCTTGTGCGGCGCCAAAAGCATTTGTTCTCGTCACGGACATAGTTGACGATCCCCTTCACAGGCCGAAGCATGTGTATCCGTCGGGGAAAGGTGCAGGAACAACCCACGACAAAGGCCCGTACGCTGCAAAGAAACCAGCAAGCATTTCAGACTCCGTTTCCATTGCCGAAAACCTGCCAGACGGCTCCGCGCATAGCCAGAGCGTGACGATTGAGCCTATCAATACGCCCCTTGGGGACCCAAACAGTGCTGCAGTTCATACAGTTCAGCAGGGTGCGGGCATCGCTTCAGAGCATGGCGGTATGGCTTCAGAACAATGCCGAGGATTGAGGCTTGGCGTGCAGCAATCCACACGAAATATTCCAGGTGGAATTGGCTCTGCGAAGAAATCCCATTCACGAGAATTGCTGCCGGGTGCGCTGAAGAATCCCACTCTGAGAGCCGCCGCGGCTAGAGCAGCCACGGCAAGAAGAGAAATGAGGAAGGCTGCGCTACAAGATCTCAATAAGAGCTTTCGGGATGTGGAGAAACTGGCCGCCACTGTGGAAGAAGAAATGATACAGGCGCACAAAATGATGCAGGTATGCCAAATAGAGAAGAAAAAGGACAGCATGCATCTATTACAGCAATCAAAGGCAGGAAAGAGTATATGGGACATCCATCCGCACTCACGCAGTGTGCATTGCCAAAACAATGCAGGAACAGTAAGCCTGCCGAAAAAGGCATCATTCCTTCGAAATGTTTTTGGTTGCAGAAGACGAAGCAGCCCCTTCGCAAAGCATATGCAGCAATTTGACCCCATGTGCTCAAGCGTCAGAAGCCGGGTGAGATGGGGGCAATTCTGGCCTGTAGTTCGTAAGCGATGCCGGGTGGATTGGAATCAAGGTCGATCACTTGTTGCATTATGCTTGGCATGCGGTGACATCGCGGCGTGTGTGCAGGCAGCCCTTTCAACACTGTGCAGCGTTAACGCATGTGCTGGCACATGTGCCCCCCCCCTCTGACTCCATCGGTGTTCACATTGGCAGGAGTTCGAGAGATCTCGACGAATGGCACATCGCAACCTCCTCGGGCGAGCACTTCGGACGGCAGGAGATGCGAGCGGGAGCCACAGCACCCCTCCAACATCTGATGCCGACATCAACTGGAGCGAGAATTCGACACTGGCGTCCAAAGACTGACGTGGAGCGCAGTTGGCGCGGCAGATTCCAAAGGCCGTGAATTGGGTGTCCGTATTTGAGAGTGGCCTTGAAAAACCTCAAATTGAGCATGGCCTAACATGTTTGGGCACCGGAGCATCACGAAAGAGGGGTTGTTGCTTTTAGTCCTTCAAGAAGACCGCAGTGCCACATACGCAGTGGTCTACGTAGTTGTTAGGGAGGAGTGTCCTCAGCCACTGCCCTGGGACAGAGACAAGGCACATTGCTGCCCAAATGACGCAGTGAGGGAGCGATCTGCCAAGTTTGCTGAAAATCCGCCTTCACTGACGCCGCTCCTCCAAAGGGTGGGACCAGAGGCTTTTGAGTCAATTGCGAGTAAATGGTGTCTGCGTCTGTGGTCGCTTTCAAGCCATGAATGCCTGCAACCCAACTGAATCAACGTGAATTGGCGTAAAATTTTACGCTTGTTAACAGCTGGCTCACTGCGTCTGGAAGGCACTCTCCTGGATTGTTCTCTTAGCACTTGCCATCACAGTCAGCGACATTCACTGGGCCTGATCACTTGCAGAATAACACCATGATTCCCAGATCCTGAATATATACTGTAGTATATTGCAGGGCCTCGACTTCAAACCCCGATCAACCATGCGTTGAGTACATTGAGGACGTTGGGCGCTTGAAAATTTCATGATGGAGCGGACTTCATGCAGTTGACTAAAGTGCAAATTGTCAAACGCAGCTGCTGATGGAGCAGTGCTAAAGATTGTGAATATTTGCATCCAATTCCCTCGAATTCGCCTTTGCAATGGTGGGACGAGGCGCTAGTAGTCGTAGGGACGGCAGCGCGGCGCACAACAGTGTGGTTGCAGCAGCACCCTGTGAATTCCCTGAAGCATGCCCACTGAACATCCCAGAGTACAGTCCCAACAGCCATGAGAAGAAAACGGGGCGGACACTACTCGAATGGTTCAGTTAATTGAATGTTCAACGTTGAAGAAAGCACGCGTCCAATTATGACTTCCCTGAACTTCTGGGAAGTTTCCTGAAGAGACCGCAGTGCTCGAGAGGGCCCCAACGCACTACGAAAGGAGTGAAAGCGCCTCTGGCCTGAAAACTGCAGAACGGAGTGGGCCGCTAAAGATAGTTGTGGATGTTCTTTCCTTTGATCAACAGCAGGCCAAGCTGCACAACAAAACGTGCCACCCGTTCACCTCCCTTCACCTTCACCGCCTCTTGGTTCAGTCCAACTGTTGCAGTACAGGTTCAACGTGGTACAGTTTCCCACCCACTGCCCATCACCCAAGGAAATAATATTACTGCGTGCACCAAATCCGTGACTGCCTGCACCAAGTCACGTGCACACCGTGCCCTAACCTCAGTTTTAGGGTTAGGTTTAGCTTTAGGGTGAGTTTTAGAGTAAGGTTTAGATTTAGGGCAGGTCTAGTTTTAGGTTTTAGGTTTTAGGGTTTAGGTTTTAGGTTAGGTCAGTTTCGACGGAGTTGAACATGATGTGCACGTGACTTGGTGCAAGCAGTCACCGATTTGGTGCAGCCAGTAATTTTATGCCTCACCCAAGCCCCGGGGGCGATCCATGGAATTAAGCAGGATATGGGTTGGCTGGCTGTGGGAGTGCCACGCAAGGCACCCGACCGCCCCTTTCCAGATTCAGCGAATCTCGACTGCCCGTTTCCACGTCCACTTTCCGCCGAAGTACATGCGGAAGTACTGGACGTTATCACACAGTGGGCCCCGACGGGACCACCATAGCCGTCCATTCGCAGCGTGGAACTCTCCAGAAGCCCATCGCAACGCGCGGCGCGTGTCGCGCCCGTGTCGGGCGTGCGGCGGTCGCGTGCCATTCCGGATGCCGGTCCCGGGGAGCAACCGTGGCCACAAGTTCAACCCCCGTCAACCGAAAGGGACATGACTAACCCACAGAACCACTCCGATTGACTCACTGCTGACTCATCCCGCCCCTTTTAATTTCGTCCCTCTGGGCCCACACCGTCTGCTGGCCGCCTCGCGGGCGTCTGGACGGGGGCAGCGCGCGAAGCCGGGGCGCCGTGCGCGCCCCTCTCCCGGGGGACCAGCCCGCCGGTAAGACGATCAATCCCCCACCCGCCGCCATTAAACCTCGTTCCTCGGATCTGCCCCGTAGCCACCGCCCAATTCCTCCCGCGACGCGAGAAGCGAAAGCTGCAATCCGCCGGCGCCAAGCCCCGACGGCTGGCGAGATTTTTAATCGACCGCGCCCACTCGACGGTGGGACTGCGGTTCATATTCGCGAGCTCAGATCCGAAAAATCTGCGGCCACCGCGGAGGTCAGCCGCGCCCTCAGCGCACCCGCCCCGGCCGGGTGGCCCGGCATTCCTGGAGTCGCCGCCCGGGCGGCTGCCGACCGCGCGGGTGGGGCTGATGCGCGCCAACCGAGATGCGGCCAGGGCCGGGTGGTGTCGCGCATCGCGCTGGAGTGCGCAGCGCAGAGGCGTGGGGCCCGGTGACCCGCGCTGCTTTGGCGGGTCGCGAAGACCAGGACAGCCCTCGAGACCTCACCGCAAGCGCCGCGCTCCGGGAGCATTTTACGAGCGGAGGCGCGCCGCGCCGTGGTACGCGCGCGTCCGCTTGATGGCCGAAGGATGGCTGCGGGCAGGCGACGGCATGGCTGCACAGCCTCCCTCACAGGCCGCCGTGTAACTGCCGCTGGCTGGCGCGGACGGCCCGGTCGCGATGGTGAACGGCGTCGGTTGTGGGCGCTGTGTCGATGGGCTGGGGGGGGGGCTGGAAGAAATTCACTCCGGGGTCCTCCTGCGCAGGTTCATCGAGGATATGGACCGCATCCTGCAGGTGGGGCGGGCCTTGTCGCGGGTTGGACGCCTTGAGTCGAGTCGAGCGCGCAATGCGCGCCGCTTCTCGCGCTTGGACGTCCTGGTTGTCGGCTTGATTAGTCGGACGGGTTAGCGGCCTGGTGCGGCGCTCGCGCGTGGCCGCCTCGATCGTGACGACCACTGGCTGCCCCGCAGGAATACGTGTGCTCATTTCGCGTGCGCGAACTGCACCAGTGCCTGGACGCCCTAGGCCTGAAGAAGCACGGCCTGAAGGTTGAGCTGCAGCAGCGGCTGCTCGATCTGATCCAGAAGCGCGGCAGCATGTGAGTGGAGCCGCGCTGAAGGTCGTGACGCACGGTTCGGCGCTCGTGCGGCTTCTGAGATCAATGCCCTTGAATGCGCGATCCATGGAACCCATTTGCGAAACCCTTGCAGCGCGGCATGGGTCAGCATGCTGGCTGTTAGCTGCGGGCGTCGAGAACAGCGATGCGACGCTATCACAGAGCCCATCGCCAGGCTGCCGGGAAGCGTGTTGAGCATGCGCATGTTCTGTTTCAGGGCAAGGCACGGAGATCCTGCTGGTGGGTGGGTGGATGAGCAGCGGAGGCTGTGCTGAAATGTGCCGAAGGATGTGGGCCATCATCTGGCTCAATCGCAAGGCTGCTCCCCCTGAAATGATTAATTGTTTTACCAGCTACAGAAGTGGGCATGGAGCTTTTATCGTTTGACGTTTGTCACGGAGCCATCCTCTCTGCCAGCCTGTTGCGCTATGGCCATCAACTTTGGTGTACGTGCGAGTGTGATCACAACTCTGCACATTCCATTGATGCAGGACTTTGTCCATTTGAATGATAGCAACGATGGCCCTACGGACCATTGCTCACCGTTCAATCATTTTTCAGGCCGTGTAATAACTGAAGTTTACTGCGGAATGAGAGGACTGAAACGCCTGCCTGGGTCCGTTGGATGCAACGGAGCCGAGGACCAGATGGAAAAAGAGGTTGCCCAGACACTGATGTCCATGCCAGATGTCAGGATGGATGTGCCCTCTGGGTCAAGGATGGGGCATCAGATCCATACGCTGCAAAGGAATCCATACACCTTGTCGTTCGGGACCAATGGACGCAACTTAAGGACCCCACAAGTGCAATGTTTTTGCACCAGCACCATGCATAGGGATGGGCGGATGGTGAAGTGCGTGGTGAGGTGCCATTCATTTTGGCAAAAGATTGGAGGACACCTTGGGGCTCAGTTGGGATCTCAATCATGGAGTCAACATTTTGTTCTTTGCATGAATGCAGATAATGTTTGACTTGCAGATTTTGGCCAACAAAATATCAAGTTTTATTACCTGTGGAATGTGCTGTGATTGCTCTTGTTTGTGCTCTCTGCCATGCTGCAGATCATTCAGTGCTTCGTATGCCGTGTTCCACTGACTCCAAAGTGCTGCTGCAATCATATGCAGTGCTGCGCTGACTTCATAGTGTTGCATTCTAGACAACATCAGATTGTCGAACACCTGTACTCTGATGTTGTGGGAGAGATGGGACTTCATCGCTGGCTGCCATGCTTGGATTCTATTGTGAATGGCGCAAAGAGTGGACTACCAGGCCACAATTTGCGCCCACCCCAAGTTTGACCAAACCTGGTCAATGACCAATGCAGCCCAGTGGTCCCAGCAAAAGATTGGCTGCACTGCGCTCAGTACGATGCAACACAGTTATGCCACAATGGAGTCCCGCGAAAAGCAGTCCAGTTGTGACATTCAATAACAATTGCAAATTGACTGTGTTTCAAGCATCCATGCCGTTTGACAGGCTTGGTGACAACGGTAAGCATCGCAATGAAGGGCTTTCACTTGGCACCTGTTGGCATTAAAGCGCACATGCCCTCTTGTGATTTGTGTCATCAGAAGTATCCTGCCATTGGTGAGTGTGCGTGTGTTCAGACCTCATGCAGATGCAGATACGCTGATGCAGGCAGTCTCTTCCATTGCAGGGTGAGGGATGTAGTGTCTGGCAACATGCAGACTGTGCCTTGCGTCCTGGTCCCATTCCCGAAAATTTTCTCTGCCCACGGTGTCGGTGCTCCAGGGCAGACCCTTTCTGGGAGGACACTGGAAGCGATCTTGTGCCTCCAACAAAGTTGAAGTACACAGGCAGGAATGCACAGGTGCGACTGTGCCTATGTGCTGACACCCTACCTTGTCACGATTCAGCTTGCAGAATGGATGATAGCGGCAATCAACGAATGGTGATTGGATCTTCCTGTGCTCAGCTTTGCCTGCAATGTTGAGGACATTTTTGTCTTGGCTATTTGGCAACTGTCATCCATATTGGACAATTATTGATGGTTTGTAAATGTTTTCTTGATACTGTTATTGAAGTCTGCAACTCAAATCAACAGGTACGATTATCATAAATGCATCATCATCATACATGAATATTGGGCTATTTGATATGCATCCTGTGGGCATCTGTCTTGTGTTGCAAACTGTTTCTTCACAGCTCTGAATGTACCAATTTGCATTGCTCTTTGAGGGCCTGATTCCAAAACAGCGCTGTTGTGCCAAGTGTTTGTCTTGCAGCTTTCAGCAAGGTGCTGGTAATTTGTCCTTGCCATCGTTGTTGAAATGTGACTGTGGACAATCCCAGGCAAATGGCGTTGTGCACGAAGTGTTCTTAGCTGAGAAAGTTTTCTTCATCAAGTCAGCGGAAATAATGGACAGGGTGCGACACAACAAGGACTATCACTTGCAGGTATCAACACTCTGCCCTGTCTGCCGAACTGCCAGATGTCTTGCGATGCACTGGTCAAGTTGGGCTGTGGTTTCCTGTGGGCTCTGGGACTTGTCTGCATTGTGTTGAAAGACAGAAAAGGTCCTTCACTTGTGGATTTGCTCCAGCACTTGTATTGATGATTGCAGACAGGCGGACTCTTTCATTCCAGAGCTCAGTGCTGTGAAAGCACGCTAAAAGCCTGGTGTGAGGCTGCGTTCTTCTTGCCTAGTAACATCACAGCCAAGTAGCCAATAGTTGTGGACATTGGCCATCCTGCTAGGCAAGATGCGGCAAAGGGGCCGAATCTGTCATTGGTAGCAGCAACTCACAGCCTAGAAACTTGGTGCACAAACTTGGGGCATCGTGTAGCGCTGTGGGACACAGCTATATGGGCCTGTTTGCTTGTCTTGCCAGGGAGTGCTCCACACAGAATCGTTGCAGTAAACCTTGCCCTTTCTCGTTTCACCAGTTTTCTGAGTTTTGGCCATCCTGTCTGGCTGCTCAGGTCGTCTGTGTCCTCCTCAACGACGAGATTCCTTATCGATATCATTGGCCAAGAAATTGCACCCTCAAAGTGAACAACATGCAGTACAGGGTATATGGCAGGAGCCCCAATAACTGCCTTGGAAACAATCAACGAGATGAACCCGCCAACGTCGGTGAGTCGCTGCAGAACCATCGTTCTTTGGGACTGGCTCAGTGCTGGGTTGTGGCTGAACCCACAGGGTAAAATGGCTCTGACACTGTTGTCGTCAAACCCAGTGCCTGTGAACTTTGCAGCTCCAGTCAATTAACATTTCATTTGTGTGAACAAAAAAGCTTTTGAATATACACAAATGGTAGCAAAACGACAGCCAAAAACAGTGGCGGTCGCTAGGAGATTGCATGGACAGCATAGAATTTGGAGCAGTGGAGAGTAGTTCCCAAAGCAATGGTGCCATGGTGTGGTAATGCTCCAATACATTGGGAAAGGAACATTCAGGGGCTTGGTACTGCACTCTTCCTTACCTGCAGTGCCCTTAGTTTGTTTCATCCTCTGGTAGATGTTGGCAAGGTGTTTCTAGCACACAAGGATTGAGGTGTGAGTGAGGGCCAACTGCCATCTGAATAGGAAGTGAATGATTCTAAAAGTGTTTTGCAGCATGCTGGCAACTGTGGGCATTTACATTGATCATCTTTATCCTTCACAATCTTCCTCATCATGCTATTTTGTCACCCTATCTTTGGATAATCATAGAAGCCATTTCCCAGAACGTCTGGTTCCTTCAGATGGTTATCATCGCATTTCTTTGTGGTCGTCAATGCGGGCGCAGCTGATGAGACTCCCCTCTCTTTCTGGTGGCAGGCATGCTCTGCAGGACGGGTAGAAACTCTGTGTCAATTACCTGCACGGATCCCAGACCCTTCTGCTTCTATGTCCAGATCGTCCAGAAGCGAAGCAGGGAGCAGGTGGAGGCCATGATGCAGGACAGTGAGAGTTTGGAGCAGGCACATGCGCGTGTGGTGCGCCAGGTCAAGCAGGGCTCTGTGGAGGACGACGACAACCTGGTGCTCATGAGCGCAGTCGTTGTGTCTCTCAAGTGCCCCCTGTCAGCGATGCGGATCGCCACGCCAGCCAGGTTCAGCAACGTGGGCCAGGTGCATGCATGGATCGCCCACGCCGCTGGTCTGTACTGAGAACTGCTGGCTCTCAAGGAAAGGACAGAAATAGTCCAAATTAAAAACGAAGCCCACAAAATCCTTAGAGCCTTCTTTGGCATTTGCCTTGTGCACTTACCACGTGCAAGTTCATATTCGATTGTCCGGTTGTGCTCGATTATGAGCCAGTTCATGTATGACCGCCGTGCATTGGCTTTCACCAGGTGGAGGCAGTGTTTGACCTGGACAGCTTCTTGAGTGTGGCAGAGCGCACACGCAAATGGGCCTGCCCACAGACCATGCGGGGCTCCTGCGTGCAGGCCCTGCAGCGGGACGTGTACTTGGACCGGGTTCTTCAGTGCCTGGCACTGGCACCTGACGTGTCAGAGGTGGAGGTGTCCCCAGAGGGCAGGTGGAGGCCTGCAGCCAGCAGCGAGCGCTGGCGAAGTATTTTTGAGGATGTTGAGGATGCTGCAGTGGTGACAGCTGCAGCTGCTAAGGAAGAGGAGCCCTACTGGTACGAGTCGTCTTCCATATTCAGATGCATACTGTGAGCATCTGGGACAGCAAAGATTTATGTAGTGTTTGTGTCTTACTGTGAAATGACGAACTTTCTAATTACCACCAACTGCTCATTGCCGTAGTTATCGCTGTAGACAGTGGCGATTGCGCTTGTTTGTTGTTGATATCCTCTGTCTTATATGATTAGTGCGATCAGCAGAGATTAAATATCAAGTTACACCTGATCTTGGATTCTGAAAGCCACAGTCTGCGGACTCCCCATTAACCTGTGCTTCTTGAGGGAATTCTGGCCAGTTCACTGCTTTGTCCCAGCATGTTCTAATCTCGATTGTGCACTCGCATGCTGTAGATAGGTACAGTGCCAGTGGTCCACACCAGCAGCATTGTCTATTCGGGGGACTCATTTGGGATTTCTGACAGGACTGGTCTCGTTCTTTGTGTTTGTGGACTTTCAAATTCTTTGCAACTATCTGTATTTGACAAAACCATTCATCACCTCACATCATTTTCTGGGCACATGCTTGCCCATGAAGTCTGATGCAAAATGTGCTGTGTGAGGAATGTTCCCTAGATTGCTACTGGCGGAACTTCCCTGCTATATTGCCTGAAATTATTGTGCCCTGCTGGGCTGTCCTGCCCTGGCTCAGTTGGTGCATTCCAAGTGCACTCCACTCTTGTTCAGTTCTTCTCCCCATTCCCTGCAATTCCCCGCGATAGGGCCTGTGCTGGAACCTTGCCACCATCCTTGTGATAACACTAGCCAAGACATTCCACAGCATCAACACTGACACCTGTGAAGCGATGCTAGATGCGTTTGTCATCCACGACACTCCACAAATTTATTTGCTCATTTCATCAGAGAAGGATAACCATTCAGCTCCTGATACCATGCGCTGCAATTCAATTTTTCCATATGAGCTTTTGTGTGCATGCTTTTGATTCCTTGCCCACAATTGGGTTCTGGTTGCTCTTGCTCACGTGTGCTGGTTGTTGGCCAATGGTCGCAATGCTTTAGGCGCCATGACCTTCAATGCAGAACTGTCAACAAATCTGAATAGTGACTGGTGCATTTCAAGAGGTTGCAGGGAACTCTGTGGTGCACCTAAAAATACGTGCGCTAGTTTCTGCAGTACAAAGAAGTGCCCTGCGAAAATTGCAAAGGCAACATCTAAAACGCATAGCAAGTTTCCCCTATTGTGAAAGGATATTCTGCGTGTGCAGGGAAGAAAGTGAGGACGAAATGGAGGAGCTGCAGCGCGCTGCTGAGGCTGTGAGGGCCTCGATGAGGAAAGACGATCCCCAGAACGGCGCGGAGGTCATAGACCTGCTATCGGACTCTGAAGATGAGTGTGCATCTGGCCGAGGAGCAGCACAGCAGGCTTCGTTCAGCAATGCAATGGCAGCGCATCTGGACAGTATTGTGGCACACAAGATGTCCATGGACAGGTTGGCGTCCAACTCGCACGCTGGTCCGAGGTTTGGGATGCCCCACCCCACCGCTCCCATGAGGATACAAATACCACAAAGGGGGACAGGATCAAGCCGTGGAGAGGTGTGGTTGTGAATTTCTCTCACTCAGCTGCTGAACTCGACTCTTCCTCAACTGCCATGCTGCGATGTGCTCGAACTAAACACAGATCCTTTGCTTGCTTTGGCTGAAGGCCTGCTCGAGGCCTGTGCAGGCTGCCGCATGGTGATGTGTTCTAAAGGTGTTGGAAATGTGCTTTGACTGCTGTGACCATGGCATTCCATGTCCATCCCATCAGTGTGCACATTCCCGATGAGCAGGGAACGGACAGCCAGACATGACCATACTGCAACATAGAGTCCCACATGTGTGCAACGCCGCATGAGCCCAATCCTGCCAGTTCCCATTGCACACCTCTCCAACACATTCTCCATTGTAAATGGATTTTACAGTATTTCTGTGTAGTCACAATGGTATTGATCAAGATGGTGGGTGGTGAGGGTGTTGTTCATGTCCAGAAGTGCATATTCACATTTCCATCGAGGACACTTTTCCAATGAGCCAAGGAAAACGAAGCAGCTGCAACTTGCAGGCAACAAAATACACAGAATCGTCAAATCAGTGCTCATTGAATGTCCCCAGATAAGTTTTGCCTGTAGCAGCATGTCTTCCCAAACTTCGTTTGCTCCACCCACCCACCCACCCTCCCACCCCTTCGTAGGCAGCCAGCCCACCTCTTGTACTGCCAATTTGCAACAAGAAGAATAGGAGAAACTAAGGAGTATCCCTCATCTTGCTATCCCCTGGAATTCTTGTTTACACAGGGTTCATTGTGATATGGCTACACTTGTGAACTGCGTAAGAATGTATTAACCCATTCAGAGCCAAATGCACAACCACAAACCCAGTAACAGCTTTCAAATTGATGGCATAGGAAATGGGAAGTTCATGTGCCCCTTGCACTAAGTCTTACACAACCTTTGACACTGTGCACAGGGGTGCTTTGGGTATCTGGTTCATCGGAGTAATGCTCTGGATTAAAATACCTGCCTGCACTTTCTATCCCATTTTCTGTTGTCTCAACATGCACTTGGTTTGTCTTTGCAGGTGCACCAAAGCCATTCCCAACAGCAGCACCAACAGCAAATGGCGCTCGGCTTCGGGCCAGGCAGCAGTCTGCACCAGGTCGCA